GAAAAAAATTAGCCCTTTGACTCTTGCTGTTCATACCTTCTGTACAGGTAATCAATCTGAAATGTTGGGTCACCAAGATAGAAAAATACGGCAACAAAATAAATCTTTAAATATCTGAACATTTCTGTTACCTGTTGAAGAAAGTTAGCTTTAAATGTGGAGACTTGTGGAGGAATGAATCATTTGTTTTTGCCTGAGTACTTTTTTGTGTACAACACACACACATAATCCTATGCCAATCAAGATAGATATGGAAACCCACCTATAAATACTGTATCCTCATTTTATTCAATGAGCTGGGATATGGCATCATGAATCAGATTCCCCAAATAGCAACAATTAGAATACCAAAAAAACGAGCAGGATTATTTAGAGATATCCAGGCACCTAGACCTTCCACATAGGAGAACAATTGTTGCATCAATAGCCAGACAATTTAAGTTTAAAAATAATATTTTGTTCTTTTCACTGAAGTTTTTTTTGCAAGTTTATTTTATTCTATGTAGATCAGTATGCACATTTTTGCTAAGTGATGTGCCAGTTCTGTAGAATTGTGATAGAAGCAATAAGCATCACTTTGTTTCAAAATGCAATTATCCTATACTCTTGTTTCTTTTAGTATAAAAATGAACTGTGTCACAATTTAAAATCAATGAAATTTCTTTGTTTAGTTTCCTTTTTTTAAAAGTTGATTTGTAATCCGTAAAAAATAATGTAAAGGCTCTAGTTCAAAGGTCAACAACACAATTTAAATCATACAATTATCTTGAAGGTCCAGGTTCAATACCAGATCTGTGCTGAGATAGAAGATAGCCAGGGTGGCAGTAAAGGTGGTACAATGAATTATTCTTAGCACCCCATGGTTCATCAGCAGGTAGGAAATCTTCCAGGATTAGAAGTAGAATGAGTAGGAATGTTTAAAAGAGATAGTACAAATGTTAAGGAGTATGGCAAAATGGCAGACAATCAGATCTGTCAATCTAATAAACAAGTTTGATAAGCTGAAATACCTCCTCCTGATTCGGTTAGTATTCAGCCAAGTAGAAATGCATGCAAATGTGTTAGCCTGACTCAGTGATAGATAGCACTCTTGCCTCTGAGTCAGATGGTTGTGGGACTTGGAATCACATAGCCTGAGGTGGCACTGCAATACTGGGGGGAGAGTGGGTTGCATTACTGTAGGCGCTGTCGTTCGGATGAGTTGTGTTAAACCAAAGTTCCGTCTGCCTGTTCAGATGGACATTGAAGATCTCATGGCACTATTCGAAAAGAGAAGGGAGTTTCTCCCAGTGTACTGGCCAACAAATCCCCCTAATAAAATTGGTCCCTCACTCCATGGCTATTCGCAGGACTTTGCTGTATGCAAACTCGCTGCGGCATTTTGCCCACAAAATAGTCAATCCTTTCTACAATATATCCTGTGAAGTACTTTGAGACATCTTGACCGTGAGATGAGACATTATATTAAATGCAAGGATTATTATTATTAATTTCTGATGACAGGATTAATCTCTGCCATGAAACCACTCATTATCGCATAGCTGTCACATATTAAGCACAAAAGCACAAAATAGCCAATTGGGGGAGACAAGATACCCCAGTATCTGCACCCAGTGAATGGTAGGTATCCCAGTAAGAGTTCAGGATAGGAAGATGAGCCGCGACCTTGTGAATTGTATTATATTTTGATTATTTTGTTGTAATTTTGAGCCACGACCTTGCTCTTTTCTTTCTCGCCATTCCCTCTTTGAACTCCTCCAATCCGGCTTCCGCACTGCCCAGCACGGAAACAGCCCTGGTCAAAGTCATTAATGACATTCTGAACATCTGTGATCAGGGCTCCCTCTGACTCCTTGTCCTCCTCGACCTCTGTTGCCTTTGACACAGTTGACCACTCTATCCTCATACACCGCCACTCCTCTTTACTTAATCTTTGCAGACCTGCCCTTGCCTGGTTCGATTCCTATCTCTCTCACCGTCTCCACTTTGTTGCCTCTAACAATTTCTCAAGTCCCCGCGCTGTCATGGCTGGTGTCCCCCAGGGCTCTGTCCTTGGCCCTCTCCTCCTTAATATCTATATGCTTCCCCTTGGTGACATCATCCGCAGACATGGGGTCAACTTCCATAAGTCCTGGATGAGGGCAAATTTCCTTCAGTTGAATGTGAACAGTTGAGGCTCTCCTGATTGGCTCGCACCAGCGCCTCTGCACCTCAGGCTCTGGCAGCATCAACCTCCATGGTTGCACACTTCAACTCACCAGCCAGTCAGGAACCTAGGTGTCTTGTTCAACCCTCAACTGCCTTTTCTTCCCCACATCCAAGCCATGACCCTCTCTGCCTTCCCTCACCTCTATAATATCGCCCGAATCCACCACTACTTCACCCCTCAGGCCCCTGAAACTCTTGTTCATGCCTTCATCACCTCCAGGCTCCACTATGCATGTCGGCTTTCCCAACTCCTCCCTGCACAGGCTGCAGATAGTCCAGAACTCTGCAGCCCATGTCCTCGCCTGCACCAAACTCCGTGACCCCACCCTACCACTGTGACCTCCTAACCCCCTACCGATCAGCCTGCTCCACATCCCCTGACCCACCCACTCCACCATTGGCGGGAGAGCTTTCAGCCACTCTGCCCCACAACCTTTGGAATGCCCCAATCACTCCGCCTCGCCCCCTTCTTAGCCTCCTTCAAGTCCCGCCTCAAAACCCTCCTCTTCAACCATGCCATTGGCCACCCCCCTTCCCCTCCCCTCTCCCGCCCGTCAGGGTCTGAAATGCTGTAGACTGTCCAGCGCTTTGGGATGTCTTCCTGACGTGAAAGGCGCTATACAAATGTAACCTTGTTGCTGTAATTACAGTATTACAAACTTTTACTCACTGGAGAATTTACAGAAATGTGAGATACTAAATAAAGACGGATCTGACAAAATTAAAGCAGTGATTTCTCACTATGAAACAGCACTATGCATAAAATTCATGATAGAATCATAGAAATTTACAGTGGATTAAGCCATTTGGCTCATCTGGTCTGCATTGGCTCTCAGAACAAGCTGTTCTTTCAATCACACTGCTCTGTCCTCCTTGTCCATTATCTCATCTCTAAAGAAAAATTCCAATTCATCCAGTCTTTCTTGATAGCTGTATCCACTCATCCACAGTAACATGCTTGTAAATATATACTGTACTCTTTCCACTGCTACAATCTTTCCTGTAAAACACAATAATTTTTAGTAATGGTAATAATTTGCATTTATATATGTAAAAATAAGTCTTTTGAATCACATTACAAATACTGTACAATTGATGAGAAATGCAGTGAATATTATTCTGCAAACATCAACTATCGGTGCTGGAAACATCCCATAAACTCTGGCATTGCCAATGCTCATCAACTCCCCTTTTTTTAATATACCAGACGAAACCAGACGAGTGTTGCTGGTCTCTCCGGTCTTGCCTCAGACTATCTCAAAGTACTTCTTTCATGTAAATGTATATTTTAATCACCACTAGCCTTCTGGACACAAGAGAGAGGTGCTCATTGATGCTCACTTGCTGGCTGCATCATGACTGTCAGCTATTTGTCCTTGCGGGTGCAGCCCTGCAACATAGTGGTTAGCGCGTTAACCTCGCAAGCGAGAGGCTTGATTCTCAGGCAGGGCGAAACCTTAGGCAAATTTATCAAATAAACATTGATAGGTAAACATTGGTGTGTGAATAAGGAAACTTGCCCAATGTTTTGCCATGCCTGAGATTCAAACCTAGGTCCTCTCGCTTGCGAGGTGAGTGCCCTGATCACAAAACTACAACTGGCTTCGTGTTTCACCTCCAAAATAAACAGTCAATTCACTTTACAATATATTCTGTCAAATGCTTTGAGCAGCCAGTCAATTTGAAATTCAGGCATAGATTGACATTGTTGGAATTTGGATTATTCACAGGATAAATAGGACAAATACTCCGTGTTTCTTTGCAACAGGAACAGAATGGTCCCCTTTATATCTACCATAATATAAAAATAACGACACAAGCAAGGAATGGAATGTCTGCAAATAACATGTTTGTAAGGTATAGCATGTTATAAAGGCAAATGTCCCACAGTCAGTGATGTTACCACTGAAGAAAAATAAGAAACTGAAAGGATGAGAAAAGAAAGATGAATCAAAATGCGGAAAAGTAAAAAAATCCTTGCATTTGATATATTGCGTTATCAAGTTGAATCGTCCCTGTATAATGTAATGGCTATTTGAAGGCTAACACACCATTCCATGAACAGCCATTTAAGTACAAGTTCATTCACTTGCATGAACTTTTATTTTAAAAAAAACAGGACTATTGGCTAATACGCTGAAACATAAGACAAGTGATACAAGACTCTCGTAAAAGTAACAGAACAAGCAGACGATGAGAGAGTTGGTGGCCTGGATCAGGCACAGGTTTTTTGTTTGGTCGGCCAGGTGTGTGGCACATGCGGAAACCCATGCACTAACATGAAGAAAATTCGGTTAGAAGCCGCTCTCTGTACGGCCTTCGTTGTGCTTCAGATCGAATCGAACTGCGTTTGTTCTCGGTCCTGCTCTGTGCTGCACTTAACCTGTGAGAGAAGAGGCTTCCTAGGGCTGGGCTTTTTGTTAAAATACAAGTGTGTGTACTGTGTGTGTGGTATACACACACACACAGACACACATATATATATATATATGAAACACACACACCGACATTTGCCAGCGCTGTGAACTTCAACAATTAAGTTCCGACTTCCAAGAAAACGTCGCACTGGCAACAGAGGATCACCGAAGTGTAGGCGGACCCAGAAATGGGTAAGCGAGGCTCGAGTTATTGTAGGAAGGCCGAGCCGAGCCGAGCCGCAGAACTCTCCAGGTAACTCGGAAAGGAGCCCTCTTCCCTCGCTGTTGTGTTCCTGCTTTGATGCCACTTTCTGCGGTGACGTATCAACTGTTGGGTTTAACCGTTTGTGGGAGGCGTTACCCCCCCTTTCCACACACACACCAACCTCCAGAATATGCTCTTTCTGATAGGCTCAGTTTGCATTTTTCAAATCGGGTTTTGAGAGACAGCTTTCCCCTTCCTGCTCTTTCCAGTCCATCCACACAACACAACACACACACAGTGGATTAACGGACAGAAATCCTAGTCGAAAGCAGCGAGTCGCCGCCATCCTTAAAAGGAAAGGTAAAACCGCCACTATTTTTCTTTCGGTGGGAGGGAGCACATTGCCAGATGTCTTGCTCGGTTGCAGTGTGAATTGAAAGAGCCTTTTTATATTTTTTTTACACACACACACAAAAAATCACCCACAGTTGAGTCGCCCCGTGGGGGGGGGGTGGCAAGAAGTCTATTCAGACTGGGACTGTTTTAAAATGCAAGACGCCTCGTGTAGGTTTCTGTTTATCTCCCCAGCCGGGGCTGTTCGTACCTGCAATTCTAAGAAACGCAAACTCCTATGCTTTTTTTTTTGCCCCCCCCCCCTCCTCCCTCCCCCTCCGTCCCCCAATGGCGCGCTTTTTGATAGTAAAAACATTTCTCCTGTTGAACAGTGCGTTGGCCTCGTCCTCCCTCCATGAACCCCGCGCCTGTCCCCTGCTCGCTCTAGGCCTCGAGTTGGTTACTTTTTAATTTTGCAAATTGACCTGTTTGTTTGTCTAAGCGGTTTCTGGACTCCCGAATAAACCGTGGTTTCCAGCGACGCTCACTACTCACTCCTCGGCCCCAGCTTCAGGGGCTTCGATAAGCAGCCGGCCTTGGGCCGCGGCGGTGGGGAGTCAGGACGCGGCCTCCGGCTGGCGCTCACCTCCCGTCTTTGAATGTTTCTTCAGTCATTTTTACACCCAAAAAAAACCCTCCCCTCCCCTCCCTACCCCCCCCCCTCCCCCCCCGGACAGGTTGTTTTAATTAAAGTTAAGCGCTCGGGCTGCGGGGCTGTTATTGCATTCCCGGGCCCGGCTTCTCTTCCCTCCCCTCAACAATTGATCTCGGTGTAGGCCTCGGCTCCACCGTCGCCGTTTCTTGAGCTCCAGCGCCGTTTGAATTCTGACCGCGTTCGAATCGGTTAAAACCGTTGAGAGCCGCTCGCGCCCTTTTCTCTATCTGTCACCCACAAACCACACCTGTCCCGCGCTTTCTTTCCCAAGGATTGAACTCGTGCGGTGTGTCTGTGGGGTTTTGTTTCGCGGGGGGGGGGGCGCTACTTGAACCACATTTTATCAACAACTTTTAAGATGTGGACCCCCAAACCCTCCCCTCAATATAACCCCAACAACGCCTTGGGCCTGTGGGTTCAAAGAAGCGCGAAGTTGCTCTGCTCCCCTCCGGGTGACTTTCCCCTCCTCCTGACATCGCAGACTGACTGCCCTTCCTCCCCGCAGGCTCTCTGCTTCAGCCGCCATCATTGGGAAGTCTGAAGATTTAAGGGGTGCAAAAATACAATCCTGCAGTTTTCTGCTGCCATACTCGTTGAAACTCTTATGTGGCGCCGACATTTCTTATGCACCAACCATACTCAGCGAGTTAAGTGCTCTTCCTGACTTCTCTCACTGTTCAGAGTTGATGGCGGTCAGGGTGGGGGGAGAGGTGTACATGTGCCTCACCAATTGTTTCCATCAAAATACTGTATCTCGCTGTTTAGGCACCTTATGTTCTCATTGCCACCCACCCAAGGTAGTTCAATCTTTCAGCATTGAAGGTGCTTTGAACTAATTATATGGACACTGGGTCTAGTACAAGTTACTTTGGTATGACTTGAGTAACACATGAGAATTTATTTTTCTGGAGTGGGAGGGAAGAGAAGCGAACAACAGTCTGAAACACTGCTCGAGATTCAAGTAAAACGAGTCTTATTCTGTGAGTCTATAGCTGCAGGGGAGGTAGGGTCAGAGTGAAATATGTTATACTGCCAACAGGAGAGGAAAAGAGGAAGCGAGTGATGTTTTGGGGTTTTCCCCCATGGTTCATGGAAGCACCTGAAAAGAGTATTTGTGTCTAATTTAATAATGCATATGATTCCGTTGGGATTTCTAACATGTTCAGTCATTTTTCCATTATCCATTACACTAACAGCTCTACCAGCGGGGAAAAACAATTTACCAATATAATGAAGATAATCCTTGCATTTGATCTACAGTCGTGCCTTTCAGAATCGGGAGACGGTCTCCGTTTCACAGGATTTTACCTGTAAATAGTTGTCATTGTACTTTGGAGGTGGTCAGACATTGAAAATTATTATTATTATTGTTGTTTTCTCCCCTTGCACCTGATTCTGATCACCCGAATGGTGGAACTAGGGAGACGAACAAAAAGTGTATTTGAGAAACTTGAGTCAAAAGTTAAAGGCGTCAGTGAAGGATTTGGTGCGAGATGGGACAGAGAACAATGAAGAAAAGTGGTCTTGGTCAGGGATTGGTGAGGAAGGATGGAGAATTGAGAATCGAGTTGAACTTGAAGGTTGGGCACTTGTTCAATGATTTTGAGACAGGTCAGGGAGGTTGAGGAGGTAAGAGAGAAATGATGAGCTGTTGGCAGGAGCTGAGGAATTAAGAGGCACAGAGAGGGTAAATAAAGGGCTGTGGGAAAGCGGATTAGGAGGGATGCAAATTTATGTGGAGTTATAAACATTGGCACTAATTGGGACGAGTGGCCTGTTTCCGTATTGTGACATTGAGCATAATTATTGAACCTTTTCATGAACTAACACCTTCATCTCAATTTATACTTTTCAGTGTTCCAAGAAGTTATCCTATGTGATGGATACTCTATAAAAGTACAGATTATTTGTGTGATCTAAAGAAGTACTTGCTTCCATTTCAGTGGATCAGCATTACATTAGTTTTGAGTACCGAACTGGATGTCTATACATTTTTAGAAAAGTCAGTGGTGGAGGAGTGAAATGACACCAATACGGCAGAAATTGGAAATTGGCTGCTGCTTTGGTGACCTAAAACACAATTGCTATACTAAGACTGTGTGAGACACTTGGAGAGGTTTTGACCTAAGGTGCTATATCAAATTGCAAGGAATATTATATACAGAAATATTCTTGATGCATTTAAAACATCTAGCTAAACATTCAAGACATGTTGCTTGTTTAAGCAGGATAGAACATTGGAAGATGCTAGATTTGGTTAGACAAATTTAAATGTTTGCATCAATATTTAAATGTCCTTGGTTTCAAACTTGTTGCATTATATAATTAAATATGCCCAGTCAGTTTCAACATAAACATTTTCTACGATGAGCAGATATTTGCTATGGAACAATTATTAGCTTTTTACAACTTAGATGTACTGCAATTTCTTACAACCGCTGGCTAAAATACACAGCATATCTAAATGCCTATGACACAGACAGTATTTTTTAAAATGGAAAGATTTAAAGTTCTTGTTAGTTTTAAACATTAATTTTATGTTATTAACAGGTAATCGGCACACACAATATACATTTATAATGTATAATTTATCAGCAAAAAAAATTCTATATAATCTGGTATTGAGACCCCCCTAAAAATGGAAAATGAAACAAAAAATTGCCTTAATTGTTCTAGGAGCCAAGATCAAAAGCTGAAGATGAAGTTATACCACTTTACTATAATGGGTCTGCTTTGACAACCCACAATTTCACAATAAAATGGACATTTTTTCCATGTTTGTACACCAGTCTCCATTAGCCTAGGGACAATATAAGAACAACTAGAGGCTTGAAATGCCTTTATTTGGTACTGCAGTTTGAATTTGCAATATGAAAGTGGCATAAGTTATATTTTATAGATATTTTAAAGAGATTTCACCAATGGGAGGGGGAGATGATGTGCCTTTGCCGTTTGAAAAACACTACTTTGTTTTTCTGCCCCAATTACCATTTCTCTTCATGGAGAACTGAGACGGGGTAAAGAATGGGGGAAATAAATGATGCCAAGTATTAATTACCATGTTGCGAATAGGTCCCATTACAGCAGCTTGAAGAACAGCTGCGACAAACAGGAGGCAGTCTGACAGTGGGGTCTTTCTTCGGCAAATTTATTTATGAGTCGTAGCATCTACATGAAGAGGTAAAGAAATTTGAAATAGGTAAAATCAGGTTTTCTGTGAATTGCCAATAATCAATGTTTATAGTGGAAAATGGGAGACACATTGCGAATCTGCTTGTGGAATTTTGTCTCCATTTTTCACTACATTTAAAGTTGTTAATGCTAGAAACTAGATCAAATGAGCAACATTTGGTTCACTCCACAGAGGTTATTTGGGATCTGGAGTCATCTTGAATGGTTTGATTTGCCAACCTGTTGAAACAACTGAGTATGGAATTCCAGGGCAAGGATGTTCTGGTTTTGCCTTTAGGTAAATGTTCAGAAGAAACTTTTTTTTGTTGGTCTCAGCTATACTTCAATAAATATAATAATCCTTGGATTTGATAAAGCACTTTTCACGTCTTCGAGACATCTCAAAGCGCTTCACAGAATATACTGTAAAGTGAATTGACTATATACTTGTGGGTGAAACACGGCAGCCAATTGCGGTCAGCAGTGTCCCACAAACAGTCGTGGATTGAAAATGACCAATTTTTTTTATTATTGTTTTGTTTTGGAGGGATTATTATTATTAGGCATGTAGAGTAAGGAAACTTGCCCAAGGTTTCGCCCTGCCATACTACTTCCTAGTAGTAAAGCATTTTTCCTTATCTAAAAGTCTGGCTAACAACTAGTAAGACTCTTCACGCATATTCATTGAAATCTGTTGGCGTGTTGGACAACATAAATTTAAACTACGATGATGCAAGACTTTTTTCTATATTGCCGTTTTTTGGGTGAAAATTTATTGAAGTTTGTTTCCTTAAAACCGGTAAAACAAAACAAATTTCCATATGATAAAAGTATCAGTCTTTAGATTCAATAACTGTTGCAGAGAGAAGACATAATGCACTACGATTGTGATTTATGATGCACAGTGAAGAATCTTGTGTGGGCTCAAGAACCTATCAGTTGCTCTGACTTTAACCACTGACAACTTAAATTATCTTTACTAAGATTTGTTAACATTAAATGTGTGGCAACACAATGGAAACCAAGCATGGAAAAAAGTCTAACCAGAATAAGTAAGAGAAGAGGCCAAACTGAATTAATTTGAATAATCATCAGAAAGGCAATTAAAGGGATTCAAGTTAAATAAGCAGGGGAACATTTTTGTATTAAACATTTTTAAATTTACATTGGATAAAAAATAAATTATATTTTCAGGAAATTCAACAAAATGCATGTTAAAAAAAATGCAAATCTACAATTTAAAATCTGTTTGGTACCTGGTAATCCACAGACTTGCAGCATCTCATGACTTGGATTTTGAACTGTGTAGTAATGTTCTGAACCAAAATGCTGAAAAGAAAGCTGCATGCTCATTACAGGCAGTATATATTGGTTGGTTAATTGGCAACTTAATTCTCAGTGTCCATAGTCAGTGATGATTAAATCATTAAGGGAACCAGCTGTTCCTGTAAACCAGCTGATGACAACCAGTGACTTTTTCCATTGGTTTGAATGCAGTTGAAACCCTATTGATATAGCCTATCAGTTGGTAGCAACCTTATTTGCTGAATCATACATATTTTGAATAAGTAACTTTGGTCTTTATCTACATCCACAGTAAAAACAGGAATATAACCCAAAAACAAAGATGTCAGCCCGAAGTGGAAAAAAGAAGATGACAAAGTTATCCCGCTCAGCCCGAGCGGGAGTCATTTTTCCTGTTGGCAGAATGATGCGATACCTGCGAAAGGCAACTTTCAAATATCGTATTGGAATGGGGGCACCCGTTTACTTGGCTGCTGTAATTGAGTACCTGGCAGGTAAACAAAATACTGAAATCTGAATTTTAAAAATGCAGAGGACCTGATCAATTTAAACCTGATCAAAAGCCACCTAGCAGTGAAGAAGTTTTGTTACAGAAACTGCATGATTTTGTTGTCAGGTGACTGGGCATGCAATTGTCTTTCTCAACTCCTTTATTCTTTTTAAATATGATGGTTTGCTTTTGCTGTATGTAAGCAAGACAATTACAATACTTCAATTAAATGAAAGGATTTGTCAAGGCTGCCTGTTGAGTCAAGACCTTGGATTGTTTTATGTAAACCACTTTCTTACCGCAATACAGTGTATGAAGTTGAGATACCTAAAATAAGTGTGCTGCAGCTCATTATAACATTTGATCCAAAGCATTTACCATGACAACTATTTTACCTTTTATTTTCTACAGAACAGGCTGGTATATTTCATACATGTTATATCTGTCTTTGAATAGATATTTTTTCTTTCAATATAAGATTGATCTAAGAATGTTTACAAATGAGATTAACTATCCATTCACAGAGTCAAAAAAACTTCAAAAATTACAGCAGTGAAGAATGTTTTAAAGCAGATACTGCAAGATGGATCAATGGCATGATTATTTTCCTGCCTAATCTGAGGCCAATTGTAACATCCCTTACGCTGATCGGCTGAGATCATTAGCGGTTATTAACGATGTGTTGTATAAATTTGCTAATTTTAAATAAATGCTGTTCTCGGATGCAAACCCTTAACTAGCCAGCACCTTGGAATGTCCTTCCGACATGAAAGACGCTATATAAATGTAATTTTGTTCTGTATAAAGTCGTTGCCTTAAAATATTTTAACTGCATTCCTGCCCTTGATGGCAACAGCAATTTAACCTGTCCTTTCTCTGACATGTGGATGTTCCTGTCTCCATGTTTTTCTGACCACTGGTGAGTTGAGCTGTCAGTGTAGTGTTAAGACACTTTTTGTTGTCCTGGTCTGTACTCCAGGGGTCAGGAAAGGTTCTTGACCAGAAAACAGAAGTTGCGACTTGGAACAATTTGCTCAGTTATTTCCACACTAGTGTACATGCTTTGGATTTCTGCACCACATTTCAAATAGAACAGGATCCTTGCACCTTCCAAAGTTAGCATTATTTGCAGAAGCAGTTTTCATGTATCCTTCCATATAAATAGGGCATTAACTGAAACTGTTAAGCACGTGGCAAAATGAGAGAAGGTTGTTATTTTGTCAGAGCTGTAGTACTATAAACTGAAGTGAAAATTACTCAAGATTGCACATTTGATTGGAAAATAGTAAAGATTAAGGGATAATTGGTAAAAGATTTTAAAGACAATTTCCAGGGCTCAAGACCTAGATTTGCTACTATACAGCTTGTTTTCGTAAAAAAGCAAGTTAATTTGCATTTGTCATAATAAAAGCAACACAGTTTATTTAAAATTCGAACAAAAGAATTAATTAAACACAGCCTGCTGATGTAATCAATGTAGAGTACACCATTACTCAGCAATATGATATTTTTCAATTTTACAGGAGTAAATATCAATGGTATGAATCTAGATTCATGACTTAGTGCCTATTGTTCCCACAAAGAATACTAATCCTTGCATTTGACATAGCATCTTGTCACAATACAGAAACACAGACAGAGAGAGACAGATACCTCGTTGTTACCTGTATTATTGTTCAAAATGTGTATGGATTTTTATATTGCCTATTTAAAGTTTGCATTGTAAATGAAAATATAGTGAAATAAATACCTAGGATTTTTTTATGATTCATATGGGTTATGTTTCTGTAAGGGAAACAAAAAAATATTGCTCATGCGGCCTGCAGATGTTTTTCACATCTGGCCCTCACCAGCCAAAAGGTTGAACCATGGGCCACCCTTGCTTAGCCTATGTGATTCCAAGTCCCGACGTGCGCTTGAACCCACAACCTTCTGACTCAGAGGCGAGGTGGGAATATGGTCGACAGCATGGTCAAAAGGAAAGATCTTGAGACCGACCTTGAAGGAGGCGAGGAGGAGGCTACCACTATGTCAGGCTGGCAACCAACTTGTGAAATGGTACATTGTGCAGTTGTGTCACTTCCTTGCATTTGGTTTACTTTTTTTTAGAGATTTTACCAGGCTTTACCATCTATTCTGACTGTATTTGTATTCCTTTCAGTTAGGCATATATACTTAAGTGGTTTGTACTTCCAGACACCCTGTAAAACCATGCTTTTCTTTCATTGTAGCTGAAATCTTGGAATTGGCTGGAAATGCAGCAAGAGATAACAAGAAGAGTAGAATAACCCCAAGGCACATACTGTTGGCAGTGGCAAATGATGAAGAGCTTAACCAAGTAAGTCTGATTTTTATTAATGTTTGCACTGATATGGCTGAATCCTGTTTGCATAATTCGCATGAAATTGATTTTGTTGGTTTGACAAACAATCTGCTGTAAATGTTGAATTCTGCACAGTGCAGGGGAATGGAAATTATATGCTTGAATTTGAATCACAGAGTATCAAACAATTATTCAAATTTAACTTAAGTAATCCATAAAACCAATGTTAAATCTGGATATGATAGATCAACTAGATTTCTAAATTTTCAAAGATGGTTAAACCGTTTTACCATCAAAGTCTTTCATCTTATTTTATCTTCATGGGACTAGATGTGAAGATAATATTTTTCGTATTTAGTATTGCATCTGTAAGATCAAAATATCTCAAAAGCACCTTAACAGGTAATTGCTGTCAAGTATGGCAACTGCCTATTTGTAGGACAGGAGACTGCCTATTTGAATATACTGTAGGCCATATTGCCACCTCCACGCTCCAAATCTCAGCCCCTGTTGATTCCAACCCCCAGGTTTGGTGCAAACCCTTAATTGTCCAGCGAATTCGGACATCCTGCAGATGTGAAATTGTAATTCTACAGAAAACAAACGTCTTTCAAATTCTCATTTGTGTGTTTGCAGCTTTTACGGGGAGTCACGATTGCAAGTGGTGGTGTGTTACCACGAATTCATCCTGAACTTCTAGCCAAGAAACGTGGTGCCAGAGGCAAAGTGGAAACCATTCTTTCTGCTCCAGAAAAGAAAGCAAAAAAAGCAAAGCCCTCCCCAGTCAAAAAAACAAGCAAGAAAACGCCCAGCAAAAAGGCTCCAAAATCCCCATCACCCAGAAAGGCAAGGCCTGAGATTCTCAGCAAGTTTTTGACCACAGACACCATGGCATTATTAGTGCAACACGTTGGCATCAAATCAATTTTCAGGGATGGCATACAAATGAAACTAGCTATTGCTGTGTTTGGTAAAAGCATGGAAGAATCTTGTAGCATAACGGTGTAATTTCTCCTCCGTAATGTTTAAATTCACTCTCGCTTCAGCTACTCCCCTTTGTTTTTCTGGGCTCTGATCAAGCACTTTCCTCACCAAACTGGGATCAGCAGCTTGAAAGACTTGCTCTCCTTTTGTAATAAAGATTTGAAATTTACAAAAATCAGATTGGTTAAGTAGGTTTATTCTTTAAGGTCTCTATTTTTATTAAAGTAAATTTTAATAGTTCACACACTAGTTACATGTTCTGAATTGTGTACCACTGTAACAAGGAGTCACAATTACCTTCAGTATGATTTTTGATGGTCCAAAATCATATTTATTCTACCCAAATAAACTGCAAATGGACAAAGAAGGTTTGCATAGTTGTCCAGTGATACGTAGGAGTAAGGAGATGCATCTTTAATTCTGCAGAGTTGTGAGATCCATAATCAAAGTAGGGCTGGGAAATGTAATCAATTTTAATATCAGGTTACATGTTGGTGTTACTACTGTTTCATGTTAAATTGATTGATTAAAATAGTCATAACAATAACATTTAAGATAAGTTGATTAGAAACGTTTTTTTAAAGAACATTCTTCTGACTCAGGGCAAACGAACAGAAAACACCAAAGAAGGTGCATCCAGCACTACCTCAGATGATGTACCCGGTGAGGGATTCACTATTCTTTCCACAAAGAGCCTGTTCCTGGGGCAGAAGGTAACATTTAGCAATGATTTTTGGTTTAAATTATCTTGAGAGTGATGTTCTCGCATGCTCGCCTCAGTTTTTCTCTTTTGATTTTTTTGTTGCCTTCTTTGGGAAGATTAACACTTATTACAGCCACACAATTTATGATTAACAGAAATTAATTTATATTCAGGTGTTAAATGTTGTTTGGTTAAATGTTCCAATATGCTCTATTTGCTTATAAAATTTACTGTTAATTCAGTTATTCTGTTTTCTATTGCTCCATTTTCAGCTTTCGTTGACACAAAGTGAAATCAGTAACATCGGTTCTGTTAAAGTCGAAGGCATTATTAATCCAACAAACGCAGATATAGACCTAAAAGAGGATGTAGGTAAGTCTGCATCTTGTTTAAATGCATATAATAAACATACTTCTATACCCGAAGGGTGATTTACATTTTTTTAAATGGTCACGGAAACATGTTATTTGATATGTTTGCATTATATCATTAGTATGTGCAAGATGAGTATGCTTAAAATATATAAAATTTGCAATCGTTTCAACAATATAGAATGCCCTGAATGTCTTCAGATCAAAGTTTGTTGTATTCTATCACTTTTTAAAATGATCTGTACATATTCTACTTCATGATGGTTTCAAAATATAGTTAAATAATCCAGAATTTACTCAGTCACAGGATAATAAAGTATTAATTTAGGTGCCAAGCAATAAAACTTGGTGATTGGTGCCAATCTGCTAAATACAATTAGTCTGAACTACACCGCTGGCTCTCAGTACACCTTTGACAACAGACAAGAACACAGCCATATAGGCCAAGGTCATACTCTTGACAACTGTTGCAGCCTCATTGAAGATGTCCAAAGTCAATTGACTTCTCTTGGCCAATTGTCTACCCTTCAGATTAGATTTTAAACCAACTTCCAGTCTGCCTGTCTAGGTGAATTTTAAAGATTCCATGGCCCTATTTGAAAAAGAGAAGTTTCTCACCGTGTCCTGACCAACAATCCTTCAAACAAAGTTGATGATTCACTTCATAGCTGTTTGAAGGACAACTGTGAAAGAGCTATACCAAACACAAGGATAATTATTATTATAAGTTTGAATTGTGATTTAATCTATGGTTTCACCCAGCTTTTCAGTGACTCTGATGATGCAGCACATTGGCTTGATGTATTTAAATGGTTTAGTACACAAATTAAGTTGATTGACTTTGCAATTTCAACCTTACACTGCTGAGTTAAGGCTGTCTACTTCATTGAGTAGAATAAGCAATTTGCTGTATGTTACAAAATAATAATGATTCCAGGTAATGCTTTGGAGAAAGCAGGAGGAAAGGAGTTTTTGGAAGCTGTGAAGGAGCTGCGAAAGTCCAATGGTCCTTTGGAAGTGGCTGGGGGTAAGTGTTTGCTTCAAAGGACTACATTTAATTTACAACAACAATAGTTTGCATTTATATTGCTCCCCTCACACGGTAGCATCCCATCCTCAGTTGTTGCATGAAAATATAGTAAAGAACTATTTTGATGTGGGGTTATTAGTCATTAGAAATTCGTTCTCTGGGTGGGACTCAAATGGAAATCAGGTATACGGACTAACCTGTTATAACCTTCCTCCACCCCTACTTAGGTATAGTACTAGTTATAAAGCTTTTAAGAAATGCCCATGGAACTTCAAAGGAATCCTCAGCATAATATCTAAGGTTCCTTGCTCTTGAGGTTCAGGAAAGTTACACAATTCAATCACATGAATTGCTGGTACATGGTTTTCTCCAGGTCTTGACTTGGTGTTTGAAATTTTCTATACAGGAAAGGAGGCAAGGAAAATGCGCCCAGCCTAACTTAGATATATGACAGAAAGATATTTTGTTTCACAAAATAATTTTACTCCTGGTAATATTAGACTTCAGAAAGAGGTATTAAAAACAATTTTTTTTCATGAAAAGTGGATTGCCAGTTTACTATCTTATTCTATTGCAGCTGTCTTGGGTCAGGCCCCTGGATTTCCAGCAAAATTCATCATTCATTGCAACATACCTCAGTGGGGAGCAGATAAATGTGAAGAGCAACTGGAAAAAACTGTGAAAAACTGTTTGACCTTGGCAGATGAGAAAAAGCTGAAATCGATTGCTTTTCCTTCTCTTGCCAGTGGAGGCAGGTAAGTCATTGTTTTATTTGAAATAAGCAAGATATTTTAATTTTAAGAGAACACCACTTTGATGTCAAGTTCCTTTTGAAGAAAACCAGGTATAGAAATGCATGCAATTCAACAGGCATGGCATAATTATTTACACTGAAATATAATTGTATTTGTAAGTGCCAAACAGGTGGAAGAACTGCTCCAATTTTCATGAGCCAAGTGTCTGTTTAATTCAACAAAATGTGAATAAATTTGCTATGTACTTGATCCATGTATCATAATCTAGTAGGGTTGAGGTTTGCTTTTGTTCATAGCTCTCCAATATCTGCCCAAAATTTAATAATTACATTGCTTCCTGGATGAGGGATATATTTTTATTCTAAGATGGCTGGAAGCTACCTTAAAACAAATACCATGCCATGTTGAACTCCATTTTGCTGGCATTCGTTTACGTTTATGCAGTGTATTTAAAAAAAAGTAGAGGATTTACAAATTGTATTGTTGGCTGTTTGAGGTGGATGCACAATGTTAAGCTTGTTCATTTAGTGTTCAATCCATCAGTCATCGGCTGGCTATTGGCAGAAACATTGCATCTATTTGGGTTGGTATACTGAAAGGTCAGGTCTCTAGAAGTTTAGGCGATTTGAAGGCCATTGCTTTTTAAACAGTGAAAATAATCACTTTGAACTTTTTGCCTTCAATTCGTAGAAACTTTGGGGAAGAGGGGTAAAGAGAGAACTGTATAAGCACTGCAGTTGTGCTGGCTTAATGAAAGCATTTTCCCACAAAACCATGGAGACTCCTCATACAGTGCAGGTTTCATTCTTTGGGTAGGATCATACTGCTGATCAGTAAACACTACTTTTCATTCTTGTTAAAAAGTGAAAATGAGGTTGGACAACCCATTTGCTTCATTCGTATTCTTGGTACCATTCCTCAGAACCTCTTACTTATTGAACCATTGTGATGGTATTTGTCTACACCAAAATTAACCTTGAAGTTTGGGCTGGTAACATATTAGAACCAACTACACTGCCTATATTCTCAATCTGTTTAAATATCGAGCGAACTGAAATAGTGTGCTTAAGAGGGAGGGAGGCAAGGCTGGTTTGGAAAGTAATTTGGGCCACAACTTCGTACCTCCTGAAAAGTTGCCCAGGTGCTTCATCACAAAGAGGATTCTGCTGATGAAATATTTGGGAACCGACTGCAGGACGATATAATAATAGTCATCTGGGAATATGAAGATGGAAGCCCCAGATGTCTCAAACTGCACTGAGCTTGTTCATGATTGTAATTCTGCTTGGTCTGAAGTCTTATCTAGTCATGGCTGTCCTGGATTGCGGACCCTGTAAAAGGTGAATTTCCTGGAAAATTGTCGTTTCAATATATCCCATTGAACGTGGAGAAGGCCTGTATTATCTGAGAAACTGCCTTGCGGGTTGAATGTTCACATGACAAGCCGATGAATGAAGTGGAGTTACACCTGTAATCTTTTGAGGTACAGATGGACAAGAATGGATTGGACATTAGAGATGAGACGAAAGAGGATCTATTACCAACACCAATGATCCCATTGAAACAATGTATTTTCTGGGAATACCTTGATGGCTGTGCAAAAGCAAATTTCCTTTGGGTTTGTGGTTCCAGATTTTGAACTTCACAAACTGTAGTTGAACTTGCGGTTTAGCATGGATCAAGCTTGTGTTGGTTTGGAGATTACAAAATAACAGAAATAAAATTCATCTCCTTGCTTTGAAAACCACCCTAAAAATGTGAGCACAAAAAAGGTCTTCTGCAAAAGTCTTCCAAGTTAGAGTCCTGGAATATGATCAATGGTAGAATGATTTACAATTTTAATTCCTTTGGTGTATAAACTTCACAAACTCTTGACAGCTCGATGGATTGTAAAAGCTTTAAATTGAGGGGCCAGACCAAGAATGGTCTTACATAGCCTGTTGTTTTTCCTTAAATTGAAAGCTGTTTTAAATGAATCCCTTCTCTTCTTGGAAGATATGCTTGCTGTTAAGATGGGTCTCCAACAGCTTGGAGCTACCCGGAGCAATCTATCAGTACAGAGGATCTGCCTAATAGGATGCACGCAAACAGTTTCACAAATTATTTTGTATTGAACAGCATGGGAAGCATCCCATTCGAGTTACCACTTTCAAAAATGGTCAAACCGAAGCTGAGTCATGGACAATACATAGGTGATCATTTGAAGGATATAGGTTTGAAGAATGGAGAACTATTAAAGGAAATCTATCTCTGCTCAGATTTTCCCAATTGACCTTGAGTTCTGTTATAGATTTTAGTACTTCCGGCGGGGGGGGGGGGGGGGAAATAGTAAAGACTATGTGAAGATCTTCAGTTCACCAAATACTGTGCATCCATGGTTAAGCCACACAACTCCAATATCACTGATTTTGTACTGTTACCACATGAATACTCTTTATTTGTTGGATATAATTTTGGCTTAATAGATTGGTGTGCCAAGTATGTCCGCTTAAGGAAGACCAGGTCTTGAGGGCTGTTAGATAGTAAATATTAGCTTTAATATATGCAAGAGAAAATTGAACTTCGCACCAGAAAATATTCCCAAAGTTTTCACTGTGGGAGATCTCTTGATTGATGCACATCACCCCTGAACATGAGAGGGGAAAGGGGGTGTTTTCCTTTAAAATTAACAATAAACTCTTTTGTCTTTTGGGGTTCATTTCCATGTTATTGGACAAGGACCAGCTCTCGAGCTTCAGGTCGGTCTGCAATCCATTCAAGGTAGGAATGTTCAAATGTTTCTATGGTGGTATCTTCCACATGTTTCAGCCATTGTCCATGAACATGAAGATCGGCTTATCAGAGAAGTTGGGAAGCCAAGTTTGGTGCCTTTAGGACACTAACAGTGGTGCCCAACAATTCCTCTTCTACACGTATCATCTATCTGGTTATTTAATTAGGCTTTGATCTAGATTTTGTGCACAAAAGTACATCTTAATCAGAATGAACATAATGCAGTAATACATACAGAGCCCTGATCAGTGACCAGGAAGCCTGAATCAATGTATTGAAGTGAGACAAGAACTGTCAAACAGTCCTTTTAAGCAGCTGTTTTGTCTGGTTATTGGAGGGCTGGGATTGGCCTAACATCTATAAAGGTTTGGAATGCAAATCAGAATCAGAAGTTTTTTGGTGGCAGCTCTTTGGAAACTGATTATTTTTGCAGGACACCACCAGGTACATATTCCTTCTGCCACTAGAACTGAATATGAGGGGTGAGGATAGATGCCCTCCTCAATTGATCTGGGTTTTTAACCAGCTGTGCCAAACAACCTATGTTTTAAACTTTCTACAGTTGAACGTGGATATCTTGGAGAGACTGAAGCAATCTAGAATCTGACTATCTTTATGCCAAGGGAATTGTTTTTCCGAATTTGAATCTTAAGGCCTTTGATTAGACTGTATCAATCAATGTCTTGAACCTATTAAAATGTATAGGCTGGTATGCCTAAATGTATCCATCACTCAACCAGTGTACTGTCCTGTCCATAAGTCCTTGTGGTCTATTAAATTGTTGCTGGAAGAGAGGTCACCCAAGAGACAAACCTTGTTTCATGGTGGTTAGGAGATGGTGCTTTCCTGGAGGATTGATTATTACATTTCGAGTGAATAGTTATGTTGATACTGAACACTGCTTGGCAGAGGTCTTGATCTTTGAGGAAGTAAATCTGATGGCCTGATCTGCTGAAGAATCGCTCCTCTATCAATGCTATCATTGGCAAATATAAGGGGAAGATGAATGCCAAATTTCAAAGACTGTACAATTACATCATGTATATCATCATACCTGCGATAATTCTGCTGAAGTCCAGCCTTGCTTGTTTCTGCCCTGTTGATTTGCACAAGAATAATAATACTTGCATTTGATATTGCCCCTTATCACATCGTTGAGACACCTCAAAGTGCTTCACAGGCTATACTGAAAAGTGGTTTGTATTTTGGGGGCTAGAATTGTATTAAGCTAATAGCTAAACTCACTTTCTGCAATTGATGATATTGGTACACACCAAGATGTATCTGACACTTAAATGGCATGACAGTTATGTCCAGAACAAGTGTTGGAGGTGCACAGCGACCAAAGAAATACAATGGTACTGCAATGCAATGAGATCACAAGTTTTTGATGGATGAATAATGCATGTTCCAGCAATTTGTAGATGATGGTTAATCGTTGCAAATTCTGCCACCAAGAGTTGGAGTTCTTGGTAATACTTTGGTAAAGTAGGAGAAATTCAGCTAATGCTAAAGGTTGAATCAGCTAGGCGTTTTTGAGATTTGCCAGTTAGAGACAAACTTAACCATGATTTGTATAGCATAAGAAATTAATGTTGCTTTAGTGAAATGCAATAAACGAAACAGCATTTTGGATTCTAAATGGTTAGAAACCCAACAAAAGCGATGGGCTCCGCTGGTACTATTAGTAACCTGAATGGCTAAGTCGATATGCACACATTTTCCCAGCCACTGGAAAAGATACAGCAAACAGAATTTTGTTGATAGTAAAAACAATTACAATGTTCCACTTGCCTGAATGTGGTGGAGGTTTTTTTCGTCTAAACACTCAGGAAACATATTGTATATTTAATAAGTTTTTTTAAGGAATAGCTTTGCATTAAAGGACACTTGCTTGTTTTCTTTTGGCCAATTAAGGTGTTTCATCTTTGATCTGTCACACTTTGGCTCTACTTCTACGATGTCAGTTTTATATGAAATGGCTTGAAGTCAAACAAATGTTTACATCTGTATCCCAACAATCATGGTGCAGGGGAGCGAATGTTACATTTGTTTTCAAAACAGAAATTGCCTTTGTTTGCCTCTTGGTATATTCCTTCAAATTGTTAGCAACCACTTTCTAAATTTTCTATTTTTTTTAAAACCCTTTAGAAATTGTTTCCCAAAGCAAACTGCAGCGCAGCTCATCCTCAAGGCCATCTCCAGCTACTTTGTCAACACAACATCATCGTCGCTGAAGAACATCTTTTTCATCTTATTTGACAGTGAAAGCATCGGTATCTACGTTCAAGAAATGGCAAAACTTGACACAAAGTAATACTTTGTTTTTAACATTTTTTTTAAAATGAGAAATTGATTTGAATAGCAGGAAAGTTATGTGCAGCGATACAAATTTTTTGTGTGTTTCAGTAAATGAGAAGGTGCAGGGTATGAGTCTGATAGTTGTTTTGTGACTACATGAAATGTTTGGAAGTGTAACCTTTTGATTACATTTTTTATAGTACTCCCCTCCCAGAAGGAGGAAAAAAAGTTTTGAAATTGCAGAAAAATACAAAAGAAAACAACTTTGACACTGTGCATCTTTTGCATTTTTTGTGACTACCTTAATACTGAAAAGCTTAGATTTGGGGGAAGTAGTTTTTGTAGTTTGTAGTGAGAATCACAATGTATTGACACAGATTGAAGGCCTAAAGTGGAAGATATTTCGTAAAAATGCATTGTTAATCAGTTCATGTAACTGCAGTTTAAATATCCCTTTTGTTAATACAAAAAAGTTTCACATTCCAATGTGTATCGAAAAGTGTTGGAATGCGTTGAAAAGTATTGGACTGACTGACAGCAGATCAGTCGCATTATGTTACTCCCCCTTGTATAATTTGCTGTAGTTTGATAGTGTTAAGGCTTTTTTAAATAAAAAAAACAAAAAAACTACATCAGTCTTGGACACTGATCTCGCAATAAAACAGTTTGATGCTGTAAATGTTATATGGCAGTCATTGTTGATCAACAGAACTTAACTTTCAATGGCTTTCGCAGTGCAGAAAGGTACACAACTTGGTTTTGTCATTTTCACATGTTATGCAATTCAAGAAAATCATATTTTCAAAATCAAGCAATAATTGTTACCACTTGCTTGGATCAAAAATGACCTGGATCAATGGAACAAGCCACTTACACATTATCTCCTTTCTTTAATGCAATTATAATATTTAACCAGAAAGTTATGGATTTCATTAAGTTTTGGACTCCACATTGTTTTGAATAATCGGAAACCTGGAAAATTACCTAAATTTCTAGTTTGCACTTTTCTTGTCACTTCAAAGACAAATTTAGACAAGTGTGTGTTTGTGTATGTGTGTATATATATGTATACATACACACATAACCTTAAAAGTCAAGTGCCGTCCCAGATTTGAGCATTAGAGAGAGTGGGTAATTGTTTAATTAAATATGGATTCACAAATAGATCAAGTAAAAGATTGGGTCTTCACATTCATAAGCTTATGATATCTGTTCCTTCCTCAGGAATACCACTCAGGCATAACTATCTGGCAATGGGTGTTTTTTTGAATTCTGTGCTTATTTGAGCTTCTTTGGAGATTTATTCAATCAATTAATTAAACTATATAAAGGATACAGGACATTCCTTCTTGATTTACACTTTCCTGCACAGAAAGTAGCTAGAAATTGGCAGGACCATGGTTTATTCTCCCTTGCTCAAACTCTTCGAACTATAATAATCCTTGCATTTGATAAAGACTTATTGGGTTTTTGAGACGTCTCGAAGCGCTTCATAGAATATACTGTAAAGTGAATTGATTGTATTATTTGTGTGCGAAACAGGGCAGCTAATTGTGCACAGCAGTGACCTACAAACAGTTGTTAATTGACCAAATTATTATTTTTTTTGAAGAGATTATTAACCCTGGAAAAGCGATCTGCCAATCGACTAATAACTAGGTTCCTACTTACTGTTAGGTAAACAGGAGTGTTGAGTAAGGAAACTTGCCCAAAGTTTTGCCCGGCCCAGGAATCAAACCCAGACTCTTGCTTGCGGGTGCTCTAACCACTAAGCTACAGGACACCTCTTCTGAGGTCAGCTGAACCAATATAAAGGGATCAAGATTGGGCCATTTAAGATTTCTATATTATGTACCATAAAATACCAAGGTTTCATTTTGTTTCCATTAAATATACAGTGCCCTACTCTTGTCTTAATGGTATTTTACCCTCCCTGAGCTTTATCTGCCCGAACTGACAAGGTAAACAAGGTTTCTCCACGTTTATACCAATATGTCACTGGGTGTCATTGGCGAGCACGTTTATTACAAATGATTTCCCCTCCTTGCCTGGCATGAACCACCTATATGGTTGGGAACTCAGAAATGTGTGCTTAATACTATTTTCTGTCGCAGCTGATGCTCCAGTATGCTGTTCGATCATGTAAAGCCCTGAATGTTCAATAATATTTTTAAATTTGCAGTCAATTCAAATCAGCTCACAAGAGGTGTCCACTTACATGACTCTTGTTTGTTTATCAGGTATTTTACTCTTTCCTTCTATGTTTGTTGTTCAGACAAAATCTCCAAAGTTTCATTTAACTCATTTTCAATTCTATGCAGAATTGTATTCTTTCATAATTTGAATTATAACTTCAGTGGAAAATTCATCTCTTCTGGCAGTGCAGTTTCTGTTCAGACAGAAATCTGCTCAATACGAATAGAGTAAAATATACAATCCTCCAGATGGCTGAGTGAATTCCCCACAGATTGATCAGATCCATCTCCCAAATCGGGCTTCACATTATCTTAAGTCGTCCACACTAAGATGCAGAATTGAGTATTTGCCGTCTCCAGATGGACGATGAGGCAAGATTCTGCAAACTATTTTCTTGCAATTTGTAAAGAAGGATAACCTACATTAAATAACTATAAAAATAGATCATTAAATAACTATATCGATTTTGTTTCATAAATAATTTGTGTTTAGCACACTAGGATAAGTACAGTCCTACTCCACACATCTTGAACCCGTTTATGTCAACATCCTGCTTATATCGACAAAAAAAGTGAAATCCCAATCCCTTCCCTGCACATTAACACTGAGAACTTACCATTTGCGTCAACGTCGAGATAAACTCTGGCACACTTACATCGACAAATTGTTTAGGTTCTTAAATGTTATTATTGTCGACAGTATACTGTATAATAGTCGTAAAATGACTAGTTTTACTTGCATAACTTTTTGTAAATAAAGTAGCAAAATGACATGTAAATTAATGAATTTTAATTAAATGTATGGCTATTTAAATAAATCAGTGTAAGTATATGGTACCGAAATTTTAATCATAGAGTATCTATTGTACCCTTGTGACCACCTATGTCGACAAAACTTGAATGGTCCCTGACTTGTCGACATAAGTGGATAGGATAATATAACTATTTAGTTGCAGTGAAGGATATAATTGTTGCCAGAATTGAATGTTTTTCTCAAATTACACAGCCTTTTTTTGTGGATTTAATCTAGAAGGCTCTGATATTAAATTTCATAGGTAATACATACCATATAAGTGATCCAAAGTTTTTGCTCCAAACATAAGCCTCCAAATTTGACAAGAAAATGCTGGCAGATATCTTCCAGCCTGCCATTCAAGTTCCAGTCACAACATTTAACACTTGCACTTTTTTCTTATGGAAAAAAACTTTATTGGGTAACTTAAATAAGCCTTGTCAAGCTCTGATGTTACCATCTGAAGCTTCAAAGACAAATAACTTCCTACATTTACATGAGACTCATTCCAAGTGGCAGCTGGTCTGAGCATTTGCTCTTAAATCAACAAACTGCCATTTAAAGAATTACTTTACATTCGATATTTATTACTCTGTAAAAAGTACATTTGATTTTTTTATCATTCTTAATTTATATACATCACCTTTATTATTTGTTTACCACACCTGGATTCTTATTGGGTCGTACTAACAATATGGTAGAACAGTTCATGAGACTCCTTCACCATAGATATATATTTACTAGGCTGTTGATATTTTGCACACATTACCATTAAATTCAAACCTAGGCAACTGAAATGTACAAAATCCGGAGCGAAAAAAACAATGCAATGACTTTAAATATAGGATCTATCTATTGGTCTCAAATTCAATAGTGATTTGGTTGTTAGGCTCACCAAATAATTGTTCTAATAATAATAGAGCTTTGGGGTTTTCATGCCTTTTCACTTTCACCTATGCCTGGCTACGACATCTAACTCTACTTGCCAGCATGTGAAGTTAAGGTGTCAGGAATGTTTATGTAGCACACACATTTCTAATTGACTTCAAAAGACTGGATCTGGCCAAAATGTTGAGACTGGCAATTTTGAATAAATTTTGAATTGGTCATTTAAATTTTAATAAATGCACCAGTGCAGTGTGCTTTGGCCAAAATTTTACACAGCATGCAGTGTGGACGTTCAATAGAGTTGTGTATAATTTGAGGCAAATGATTTCAAAGTGAAATTTGTCAGTATCGATGGAAAAATAGGAAACTAGCATCTGTTGAGATGTGAGGGGAAAAAAATGTCAAGCTTTGTGAAAATAAGTAAAATGAACATTGCTTCACATGCCATTATGAAAAGTGGCTTTCAAAGGTTAGTGTAAACTGAATTTCATCCCTGTACAGCACATCCATGTTTGCATGCACATGGACTTAATATGTCATTACCTTAATACCTAGGTAATGATCTTTCAATGATCCCACCCTGTCATTTTATATTTATAATTTGGTGGCTATGCAATTTTGCAGGACCACAAGAAAGTTTCTGCAATCCTGGCCTTTGAGATTTACCAGAGTAATTCTATCATGAAACCTGTAATTGCCATATCTCATTTTCAGGAAGCTATCAATGGATGTTTCAGTAACAACTACATACAAGTAGAAAAATAATCATATACAGTAGTACATCAAATAAGAGTTCAGCTAGAGTTTTTAAAGTGATTTTTTACAAGCCAATTGAAAGCTTGGATAATATGCACCTTTGATTTGAATGTGTTATCAGTCCTGTGACTCACTCTTACAGAACTATTATTCTACACAGACAGCCAGAAACAATGAATGGTGTGCCCACTTGAGTTTGTAAAAAAAATTAAAGCAATGAATTTCACTAGACAAAGTTTATATTCGTCTCTTAAATAAGGTCAAAATTACTTAGCTGTTAAAACAGAAAATTCACTCTGGTTAAAAAATAAAAATATACTCAAGCAAATTATTACTTAATAGCTCACAGCACAATTTGCATTTCAGAAGATTTCTTATAACCTGAAGCCAATGTAATATATATATCAAACAATATCACACAGGTACCAGTATGTCCTAGCTATCCTTCAATTCATGACCAAAATATATTAAGGACACATGAAAATATGGGCTTGTTCAAAATTGGGAAAACTCATGCAGTATTCTTTGTTTAAATTTGTGAGTGCATATTTAAATCTCGAATATATACAGCACACCAAGCTGGTAGAAAATGAAGGAAGGTGGGCTGTAAAACAAAACTGTGCAGAGGGAGACTCGGAAGAATACACCAACCAGATGACTAGGCATGTGAAAATCATAGACCATTTGAACTATATGGGAAAATGACTGGTGTAACTAGCTTCCTCTCCATGCTAGATCTAGTTCACCTGAGAAGCAGTGGAAGAGTTAGCGGGCCGAGGCGTGGACAATAAAGGGACAGGAGAAGTAGCTTCAATTAGAGCTGGATTAAGTATTATGGGTAAAGGCATTGGTGGAACGCCAACCTGTAATGAAGAAGTAAGAGGCTGTAGAATTAATGGGGACTGAGAGACTGACTGATTCATGTCAGGTATTACGCTCATCTTCACTGGTGTAGAGATGGGAGTTGCTGCTGGAGTTATGTTCGTAGTTCCTCGAACTGGCACATTTTCAGCATCTGAGGAGACAATAGGAGCAAAGGGAAGAAAAATCCCTCAGTAAGTTCAGGCATTATTCAAGTTATATTTTCGGAAGATTCTATATACTCAGAATACCTTTTAACAATACATTTTACTGGGCTAATTTAAAAATAAAAATAGCAAAAACACACTTTGAAAGAATAATAATTCAATTTACTAGAACTATTATTTGGTGAGTCGAACAACCAAACCACTATTGAAAGAATTAAAGGGGAAATTAAGAGGAATTAAAGAAAAACTTTCAAACACAGGGTTGTTTAAACATGGAATGCTTCCTACAATCTGACCGATGACAAAATCATTGTTATTACTTCCCAGTACTTTGCAATAGCAAGTGCATCTTAACTACTATAAATGTCATATATAGTCACGATAAAGTGACTGCTTGGTGCTATGGACAGCAATGCACTTTGAAGTGCTCAGAATAAGACTGGATAACTGCCAATCCTCAGCTCAGCAGCCTCTTAGTCATGTGCTGAGTTTAGGAAGTGGGCAACAGAACATCTCCCATCATGCACATAAATGCATATATTCATTTTAAAAATTCAAAATGCATATTTATTTTTTGCAGAAACGTCTACCTTTGAAGGCAAAAATATAGAATTTCAGATTGTAACATCATTCAACCACGTTTGTTATCAAGATGGCTAACAATTATAATTCAATACCAAAGTTTACAGTGATATAGAGTTAACTATGATTTGCTAGGCCCATGTTAATAAAGCACTCACCATTGGCACTGGCCTCCTTGGAGTGTTCTTGCCCAGTTGTGAGACTGGATGCGTTTGTTTCACCTGAGATTGAAAAGATAGTTGCTTGTGCATTGCTCACAGATTGCACTGGATTTGGAGTAGGTGGTTCCACTGCTGCACTGGGAACAGGGTCTATCAAAAAAAAATCTTTTTTACCTCTTTCAAAAAAAATCTTCAAAAGTTTTTTGTTCAAAAATAATCCGAAAGTGAAACTATTGTTGGCATGGGATTAGTTTTGTCACATAACAAGGGCAAATGGTGACTGAAACACATTGTTAAACTGTGCAAAATTATACATCTTTATTGAATAAACAAGATCTCTATAACATTAATATTATGTATGATGAGTAGCACTGTAATATACAAATACTGAAGTTGCATTGTGTGAGTATACAATATTGCTCTTTCAGTGACAGAATACACAATTGTTAATCAGGCTGTTTACCAGTTAAATCTTGAGAAGTTATGAGGCACCCTCCTGATATGAAAGGTGTATATTGGTGAAGCACTGACAAAGGTGTAAGTTAAGTTTCAGCTTGGCTCAGTTACAAGCATTCCCACTTGAGTCAGAAATTTTTGGGTTCAAGTGCCACGCCAGGTCTTTGAACAAATAGTCTAGGCTGATCTTCCAGTCACTGGACTATTCACAGTGAAATCCTATGAACTTTGAGATGTTTCAACCACACAATTGGGCACTATATCAAATGTGCAATGGATGATAATTATTTTCATTATCCTGCGAAAAGCTTCGAGACATCTCAATAACAAAATAAAATGCTATATCAAACACAAGGATAATTATCGTGGGGGAGAGATAAGTGGGCCCTCCTTCGAGCTGAACAGGATCTGTATTGCAGTGCAATTGCGATGACACTCAAGCAAATTGGGGCTTTGTCCTTATTGACACAGCAAAAGATGGAACATAACAATAAGAATAACTGATTCCAGATTTTTTTTCAGTGTTTTGAAGTGAGACTTGTGTACAGTCTGAATGTGTCAGAATTCTCAGGTATATAAATATGCAACACCAATCACTAAAGGGAAGAAGCTGTTCACCTTGAATTACTGCTTGTTTGAAGAGTTCATCTTTCAGACGAGGCAGGAAACAATCTATTCTTTCCCATGTGATCTCCCACAGCTGTGAATAACCCGTCCTAGAATCAGCACAATGGAAAATGCCAGCTGTATCCATAACCAATAGCATATTCTTCAGTGATTCTGGAATTGCTTCTAACTGAACATGGAACAAAAAGACATTATTAGTGTATCATGATGAGTTAAACTACACCGTAAAGTGTCAGGACTGTTTTGTGGGCAAAATGCGGCAGTCAATTGCGCACAGCAGTTTCCTACAGTCAGTTGTGGATTGAGTGACCACATAATTATTATTATGTTTTGAAGGGATTATTATCCCCGGAAAGCAATCCGCAAATCGACTAACAAGTGGGTTCTTACTTACTGCTAGGCAAACAGAGGCGCGTGTGAGGAGTAAGGAAACTTGCCTAAGGTTCTATCCCGCCTGGGAATCGAACCCAGGCTCTCTTGCTTTTGTGTTTGCGTTTGAGAGTGAGTGAGTGTATGTCCGTCTGTGTTTTAATGCAATATGCCATATTATTATGTTATCACCGATTCTTCAACTTCACACAAACTGGGATGGAAACATGAAAACTGGGAGATTCCTTTACTACCCCTCCCCCATTTAAATTTCTGTGAAGGTCATTTTCAAACGTACTAATGTGAATGTAAAATCATTTCAATACAGATTGAAAACTGCCACTTCATACCAGTAAGTCACTGGATCCTGCATGCATGTACTTGTCCATGAAATCCAGGATTGTTAACCACAAAGCAGCGAATGTTGGCAGAGACAACAATGGCGACAAGTGTTGAAGGAATACCTTGAGGCAAAAAAANTTCAAACATTTGCAACACGAAGCCCATACATATACAATCAAAAGACATTATTGGTTACTATTAATTCATATACAACAACAACAAGATTCCATTTATAGAGCGCCTTTTACGTCGGGAGGACGTCCCAAGGCGCTGGACAGTTGGGTCAGGACCCGAGCAGGGGGGAAATGGTCAGGGTGAGGCGAGGGAAGGGAGGGAGCGAGGAGGGGGTAGAGAGTCGAGAGGGGAGCTTAAGGCACGGTCAAAGGGAAAGATCTTGCGACCAGCCTTGAAGGAGGAAAGGGAGGAAGCAAGGCGAAGGCACTGGGGGATGGAGTTCCAGAGCCTTGGGGCTGAGAGGCTGAAGGCCCGGCCACCGATGGTAGGGCGGTTGGGGCGGGGGATGTGGAGCAGACCTGAGCCAGAGGAACGGAGGGTACGGGCAGGTAAGTAATATACTTACTGCAATATACTTATTGCAAAAACCACAGCTCAGTGACACATATATTACCACCTCAGGGGCACTGCTTTGGTGGTATTATTTTGGCATTTCTATTTTAACTCATCATAAAATATCTGTATAAACCAAAGTGAAAGGGATTCCCACTGGCTTTTGTGTTTTCTTTATAACCTGGGAATTGGTGTCCCAGAAAAATATGGCCTTTACACTGTTTATGGTTACCTGGTATGTGGAGATAACTCCTTAATCCTCCTACTCTTCTCTCTTCCCCCCTTCCCCACACCCATCAATACAAAGAAGCAAATGATGCTTTAAAGCTGGCTAAAACATACTTTGCAGAGTAGTGTTGAAGCTCGCATTCTGGTCTCTTCCATTCCTCCAACATCAGCTGGGCTGATGTTTTCTAACAGCTTGGTCAGCAGTGGAAACAATACCTGTGTGAGCAACATAAAATAAAATTAATTTAACAAAATAAAATATTAACAATATTTCAAGTTCATCTCAGTGACAGAAAATAAAACTATATTGGGGGAAAAATGTTTTGTGTTTGCACCCAAGAAAATTAAACATATTTCCACAAAACAAGCAAAAAAGATAAATTTTACATGATTACAACGACATTTATATTGTGCCTTTCACATCACGAGGATTGTTCGAAGGCATTATAATTTTTATAGTGCAGAAGCACTAATTCTGAAGGAAAATACAAGCAGAATTAGGGGATCAAGCGTATTTTTTTTCTCTCTGCCATGAAGTCTTCGGGAACTCATTAATTCCATTTAAACTCTTTCTTTCTATAGTTAAATATCGTTACTTACCAAGCATCCATCTCCCTCCCTCCCTCTCGTGAATACCTCAATGGACTATATCCATGGTTTTCTGACACAATCCATTCCGTATTCTTATGAATATTTTTGTGGATTCACCTTTGATTGGCATAGCTTTAATTTTATAGCTAAGTCCTCTCGTTCTGTATTCCCCAACTACAGGGAATAGTTGTCCTTATTTATTTTGTTAATATCCTTCATTATTTGGAACACTTCTGGTTTCATCATCTCCTGAACTCAAGTGAATATAACCAATTTACTCAGGTTCTCATCATTTTCTTCAGTGGGTTTACAATATTGAATTATGATGGCCACAATGCACACAAAGGACAATATTGACTCAGGGCCATTTCTGAAGTTGGAGAGGCCTTTGTGTAGCCATACCAGTATTTCAAATACACTGATACGTTATTGAACACATCAGTTTTATGGTCTTACGGTCAAATCTTTGTGACAGTAATAGCATTTCAGGTCATTTGATTGCTTCAGAGTCAACTACATTGTATTTGATATACAATAGTTTCTAAATTGCATTAATAACCGATTATTCTTACAGCAAGTAAGCTGGTATGTACTTCAGATTACTCCCATACACATTTGAGCAACATATTACACAAGACCCCTATTACAGAAAGCCTATTACAGAAAGCCTTTGGAAGAGGTGTGGGAAGGATTCACCTGCCAGCTTCTCAGCTATGGAATTCTGTGTAGCAAGTGAATATCTGAAAGGACATGAACTAAACAATGTAAGAAAAATAGTTTGGTAAAGAATATTTTAATGGACAAAGTTACGCAACTTTGGGAAACAGACAATTGTGACTTTCCAAATGTTGTTGATGGCACATTCAATTTACATTTAAAGGGGCATCAAAATGAAGAATAAAGCTAAAACTCCTTGATGGTTTTTTAAAAAAATCATACCTTGTTAAAGCAGGACTCCCATTCTAAAGCATCAAGTGTTTGCAGATCATGTACTAATAGAGCCCTTTGTAGATAGGTGAGTGCTTGCATCCTAACTTGACGTCTAGCATCACAGCAAAGCCAAGCAATACCTGGAAAGATAGAGAACAAGTAGGATGTACACCTCAAAGATGTATATTTGAAAGAGAGTACTTCTGAAAGAAGCTTTCCAGGTTATATGGATTCTATGGCAACACACATAGACCGTATTGCTCTACAGACCTTTCCACAGCTTCTTATCCGTGATATTCATTGTACTAGATTATCAATATAAGGCAAGATAAATGAGTCTTTTTTTCTAATGCAGAGCTAACTATATAAATTCAACACACATTGGTCTAGAGAATCAATATTCATCCAACAGGCTTGGCAGAATCGTGTAGCTCATTTCAGATCATCCCTTATTATCCTTAAAATGTGAATTTGTCAATCATTGAAATATTCAACTGTCGTAAATTGTACATACTGTATATCTGGAAAACACATATTGCAGCACAATACTACAGCAACTCAAGTGTGGAAACTGGTTTGAATTACAAAAGTGTGGTTAAAATTTATATTCTCTATAATTGCTAATCATTGTAGAAGTAACTGAAGTAATGGCACATAATATCATCCTCCGGGGCATTGGAGTTCTTTTCTAACAGCTCTTGATATGTAGTCTTATCATTTTTTTCATTCAGAATAAAAATAGAATTTTGGTGTAGCACATTCAGAAAGATATTTGAGTTGCATTATATTGAAGAATGTAAGAGAAGAATGCAGCTAACATAAGTACACTTATAAAATCTGGAAAATAACAGAATACTATCACTAATGTGTACCTAATTTACATACCACCAAAATATAGACTTTAAGGAATGTTAGCATTTGAATATCACAAATGCCTGAATCGTAACAGTAGGGAAAAAAAACAAAGTGAATGTCAGATTTCATAGACAACATGATTCCACATATTAAATGTTTCCACAAATGCTTCAAGTCTGAAACAGCATGTTACACAGATTACCTTGCAACAAAGGACACCAGCAGTTTGACCACAAAGTACGAGCATCTGCTACTATTTTCTTTTCTGAGGCCTCCAGGTGGCGCTGTTCTTCAGCCCATGAGTTGTAAATACTGGCAGCTCGAGTGTGTAGTGTATGCATCAAATCGAGAAGCTATGAAACAAGAAAGTATGGAATAAGAAAAGTTCATTCAACCCACAAAGCTTCCTCCATTGATGATGCAATGTGCACCTTATCGAGGAATCATTTCCACCTACTCCATCTCCTGGATGAAAGTTCTGCTCAGATATTCCTTGATGCCCAAAAGTAATCAAAGAAAAGATACAGTATATTCATGCATCACCACTATACCACCCTGGCCTCCGTCCTGCCATAGATGCCCGTCCTCTGAGAGGACAGAAACAGTTGTGAGCCTGCAGTATTGAGACGTCCTGCTGACGTGATTAAAAGGGGCTCTACCAAATGTAAGGATTAATATTTTTTCTCCATCTCTAAATCCATCAATACTCTTCCTAAGTATATATATATATATATCCTTTTTTTAAGGAATGAATTGGATTCAAAATATCTACTATTAATAAATTCTTTATTTAAACTAGCTCTGCTTGATACTGATTAATTTTAAACCAACTCCCTCTAATTTTTATCTCATAGTGAATGTTAAATAGCCTGCTTATATCGATATCATTCATGCCTCACATTCATCCGTTTTTTAAAATTAAAAAGTAGCTCATCTCTGAGCCAACTCCCTTTACAGCTGAGGCCCAAATGACAGAATCATCTTTTTGCTCTTATTTATTAATGGCCCTTCTCAAGCAAGTCAATGTCCTTGGGCAGATCAGGTGCCCAAAACTGCACTAATATTTAAGTGAGTACCAAACAGTGTAGTTACCAAATAAACTTTAAGTTACAGATAAAAACAAAACCTAAACTATAATTTTATATTTTAAATATTTACCTGTATGACAGATATAACATCAGCTCATATAAATACACGTATTTACAGCACTGATTAAAGCTTCCCACCGCATCTTCTAATGTCCCTTTTAAACTATGTAGCAAATCCAACAAAAACCACAGCCAGGGGCAAAGCAACACAGGAAATGTCACTATATTAAAATGTTTCCGAAACACAGCATTATAGCAATGTCAAGCAGAACTAGTCACAATGGGCCAAATGGCCTTCTTCTGTGCTGTATATTTCTAGTCCCTCTAACCTACTCATAAGGTTTGTTTGATTATCTCTAAATCTAGTAACACTGAAGTCGTGCAGTTGACGGAAACTTGTCCGATTCCTTCTTGAAACACACCACAGTACTGTCATTTATCGTTCCACCAACTATCCTGATCATTGTTGCACTTTTAAGAGAACAAGGCTGTGAACTATCGGTAGAACACCACTTACACTTAAAAGTTCTGTGATAGCTATGAATGGATTATTGTGTTTACAAACTCATCTAACTTTACAGAAACAATCATGCAGTAGTTTTTAAACAGAAAACAGACCAAGAGAAGGATCAGAAATCTAAACAAGTAAATGGAAAAGCACTAGTAAATTATAGACATATAAATGTGGGTTCTGGATGTGAATCTACATAAAGCTTAAAAAGTCAAAACAGAACATCTGATTGCATCAAAATATCAACACCCTGCGGGCATAAACAAATAATGTGTATGGCAAAAATGGAATTGTATGAATCAGCTTTGTGTCTGCAATTTCCCACAAACTGAAATTCTAATCTCAGCTAGACTGTTAGGGGTGAAACATTTCCTGCATGGGGTAAGGAAATTGAAAACGTATGTGAAAAACAATTCACATTCCACTAGGTCACGATCACATGTCTCCCAATATCAAGTTACAGAAAGGTGCAACTTGGGGGGAAAAAAATCAAATCCATTCAACTCATGAGGTTAAAAAGTGATAGTATACCTTTAGTGAGAACAAGAAGTGTGAATGCTGATAAAAAGCATTGAGAACAGGAATGGGAAAGGGTTTCTATACTTACGTCCTGACTAACCTGTAATGACACAGTATGGTAACTTGCTGGGACACTTTCATCCTCCTCATCATCACTATGTGACCTTGATGGACGGTGACTAAAGGTCTTTGACCGCTTCATGGAATTATCCTTGTCTTTTTGCTTCTTCTTCAGTCGGTTAGGTTTATCAAATTTATACATTTTAGACTTTTTTTCATGCGATTTGTACCCTACAAGTTGGACCAAACCAATAACACATTACATAAATGCCTACACAGATTCCAATACCATTTCAGAGAAGAAAAACAAAAACAGATGAGCATATTGGATTTACTGAATGATATTTTGAAACTGTAAAAGCACATTTCTAAATCACGTAGCACATTATTACTAAACGTTTACTAATATTAGTTATATTTTACTTAGTAATCACAAACGTAGCTTTGTAATAATAGTTTTAGGGGAGATTTTAAAAAAAACATCTTTTACAAACTTACCCCCATTCAGATTTGCCTCTACAAAGATGCGAATAGTTTTTACACACAGTTCAAAGTTTTCCGGTGTCACATGGGCTGCATCACGAACAATAAAAGAGAGTGATTCCACACATTTGATGAGTGACTTGGTATCATGCGAACCCAATTCTTGTCCCAGAGTTAGGCTGTACTGATTGACTAAGAGAGAAGGGCCCTGCTTGGTATCTTGACCAGGTTTATTTATTTCCAAGTCATCTTTTCCTACCTGCAAACAACAAAAGCAACTGCTGCTTACTAACTATAAGCAACACGATTCACTTTAAAACCGTTGAATAAACACATTATAAAATCCTTGATAAAAAACCCCTGATGCAAATAAATATGCACAAATGTGGCTGAGAAAAAAAGGGGGTAGAGAGAAGAAATATTTTTACATAGAAGGTGGTGTCTTTGGAATGCCTTATCACAAATGCAATTCAAAATGGGTCTTTAAATATTCAAGAAAATTTTAAAAATACTTGATGAAAATAATACTAAGGACTAAAAGGAAAGAGCAGGGGAAGGGAGCTAGAGTATTTAACTCTGATGGATTGCTAACACCAAGCAGAGATATAAAAAGGTATAGGACTGTTATCAGCAGTTCACAAAACTGACAGGGATAGCCAAAAGGCACCATTCTGCTCTGTCAGTTTCATGCGGGAAATCATACAGGAATCTGTTTTCCTTGAAAACATCTAAAAGTGCATAAAAGTATGCTAAAAAAAGTAATAAAAGCTTATGTGCAGTTAACTTAAATTGTTAACACTGATTTACAGCTGACTGGTAAGTTACTTATGGGTTGGTAAAATCTCAACTTTTTGAAATGAACTTGTAAAACAGATGTAAAAGTCCATAAACAGCTAGCAACACATTATGAAGTTACAAGGATCCAAAAAGAATCTGCTCACATCAGCAGTGTCTGCCAAGACACAGAGCTAAAAGTCTCCAAATGAGGTTTAAATCTACAACCTAGGGTAGGACTGCTACCAATTGAGCCAATAATCTCATCTAACACTCAAAACTCTCAGCGTAATCGAGCTTTTCGCCTTTTATCACAAACATTGCCTTTTTAAACTGTACTTATGATTCAGTACCCACAGATAATAGCAGTTACTTGTTACCAATCTTGCAGTGTTTGTCTAATTTATGTCAGTCGATGATGAACAGTACTGATAACAGAAGAATCAGTATTCAATAACATCGATAACATAAAACAAAAAAGTCAAGTCACGTTAGTTTACTTATTTTGAGACTTACCACAAGCCAACCACTGCTGGCCACGTCAACGTCAGTAACAGAGCGATGCATTTTCGTCTGCTTGCCATGTTCAGCATAGACTTCTGAGTCTGAAGTATACCCACGATCTAAACTAATTTCGCTGGGGTGATAAGATGCAATCTCACTATCAGATTGTGCACCTTTAATGAAAAATAGCAATATATTATAAACTTGGCAGCATGCTATTATTATTATTATATTATTAACATTGCAGTTGTTTGCTTCAGTGTAGTAGATTATGGGTTCATGCCTCTGATACCCTAGATTTCAATTAGCAAACTTTGCCCTAGCAGGAAAAGTGCTGAGCAAGGTGTTGATGGGGGTAATTAAGAGGGCAATTCACCCTGGAATTATCTTAATTAGCTTCTGGTAGCTGGATCAAGAGTTGCATAAACCCAAGGATTAAGTTGTTTGTCCAACCTGAAGGGAAATCAATGTTTGTCAAAAGAGGTCTTTACAGTGGCGGAGACTATCACCAAGCCAGGGCGAGGTGACCGTAGGTACGGTTGAAGAGGAAGAACTTCAGGCGTGATGTGAAAACGGGGAAGGAGGAAGCAAGACGGATGGATTGAGGGATTGAAGTTTTGGGGTGTCGTGGCTAAAAGCATAGCCACCAATGGTGGAACGGAGGGGACAAGGGACAAGCAGGAGACTGGAGAAGCAAAGCAGAGGCGGTAGATAGTGGAGTGGGGAGCAAATAGGTTGGAGAGGTAGGGAAGTGCCAGGGCATGAAGGGAATTGTAGACACGTGTGAGGATCTTGAAGCCTATCTGTTCTATGACAGGGAACCAGTGAAGCTCAGCAAAGACTGGTGCGATGGGGGTACGGAGTTAAGTGCGGACAGCGGAGTTCAGAATTGATTGGATTTTGTGGAAAGTGGCACTTAAAATAATAATCCTTGCATTTGATATAGCGCTTTTCACATCTTCTAGACATCTTAAAGCGCTTCACAGAATATGTGGTTAAGTGAATTGACTGTACATTTGTGGGCGAAACATGGCAGCCAATTGCGCACAGCAGTGTCCCACAAACAGTTGTGGATTGAAAATGACCAATTTATTTTCTTTTTGCTTTGGAGGGATTATTATTAGGCATGTGGAGTAAGGAAAATTGCCCAAGGTTTTGCCCTGCCTGGAATTGAACCCAGGTGTCTGGCTTGCAAGGCAAGTGCTCTAACCACTGAGCTACAGGACTTCACTTAAGGACACTGGCGAGAAGGGCACGGGAATAATCCCAACATGTAACTTAAATCCACATCCTTCAGACTCAGAGGTGAGAGTGCTTCCAACTGAGACAGACTGAAAATGTTGTCTAATAAGTAAGCAGTAAGATTTCATAATATCCTTCACTTATTTAATGGAATCTTCTCTAGATCCATAAACGGTTAGTAAAATATTGAGTATCTAATTCAAAGTGGGATAACTATGGTTGTATCTACAGCTGAAGTAATTGAGCTAGACCACTAAATGTTCACCTTCTCCCAATGCAGCTTAGACTTGATTTCAAATAAGTTTCCCCAGTGTCCATTTTACTTTAAATGGTGACTCTGCACAGAACATTTTTTCATAAAGTAGAAGGATTGCTTAGAAGTAATTTGTTCTGGAAATTCATCTAACCTGCATCACTGTTATCAACTCCAGTTGTGATCTGTAGAGCTGGGGGTGGTTTGACTCCAGCTCCAATACATTCTAAGAGAGTGAACAAGGTACACCAGTCGTCACTGCAGTGTATATTAGCAGCATTGGTCTTTAACAACTCGTGCAGGCCATATGCAATTTGCCGACTCACTCTTGACAGGACATTTGGTTTCATCATAAGTAAAATTCTCAAGGATAGGAGAACCTAAAAAAAAGCAGATTCTATTTTTGCATACATATCCTTATTCAATCATGGTATTTGATGCTTCCATATTTTTAGACAACAAATGAGGCCCTCCAACTGGCATTGCTATCACTTTGAGTAGCTACAATGAACCCAACCCAATGTGTTTTAAAAAACACATGTACAAAATAAGTTGACTTGCTTCTTTTATACAGAGATTTCAGGAATATCAAATTGAACAATTTGCAGTTTAACAGAATGGAATCGAATAGAAGCACAGAACCAAATGTAAAAGTGATTGTGACTATAAATAGTGACTATATTTTAATGATCAATAAAAAGTATCTAAAAGGAGTAATTAGAAGACAGCACCTAAAATATTTTGTGTTAAAAAATCTAACAGGTCAGATTTGTTGATATTAAACATTCATATTATAGTCTTCTGCTCTTTTAACATTGGTTACATACATACACTCAAAGTTTCAAAACACAACAAATGTATGAGCTAGTATTTTAAAGTTCTACTGAAGATTCACTCAGCCAAGTTAACATTCATTCTCACACAATGTTCAGTGCTTTTGTTTTTCTAGTTTAACTCTACTAAACTGGAATACCTGTGAACTGATTTCTTCCCTGCGTAGCAATCGTATAGCTAGTCGAAGCAGACCTACAACTGCTCGTTCAACAAGGAAGCACTGTTCAGTTGCATGAACACTCAGGTGGTAGAGATGGTCTCGGACAGTCTGCCAGACACATGACACTCGGTCTCTGCAGAAAGGAAGAATAATAAATTTGTTAAGAAGCACCAATGCTACCTTTGCTCTACCGGTTAATTGTATACCTAAATCTTTTTTACCACTTCCACATAATTTTATTCCAGTTTAGTAACTATTCTCAAAAAAGGCATCAGGACAAAAAATTCAACTTTCAGGATAAGTGTTTATATTGTCAAAATGTTTTTGGTTTATCAAAGAGGACATGTGTCTCAAAGTAATTAATCCTAAATAATCGTTGCATTTGATATAGCACTTTTCACATCATCTAGACGTCTCAAAGTGCTTCACTGAATATACTGTAAATTGACTATATATTTGCAGGCGAAACGCAGCAGCCAATTGCGCACAGCAATATCCCACAAACAGTCGTGGGTTGAGTGACCAAATTATTCTTTTTTTTTAAGGATTACTATCCTCAGAAAAGCGATCCTCCAATCGACTAACAACCGGTTTCCTACTTACTGCTAGGTAAACAGAAGAGTGTGGATTTCACCCTGCCGGGAACCAAACCCACTTGCGAGGCGGGTGCTCTAACCACTGAGCTACAGGACTGCAAAGTAATAACTTCTATTCAAAATATTCCCTAAGTATGAAATCATTCAATCACAATAAAATGTTATACATTTAAGAGAATGTTTAGTATCTCCAAAGCTCTCCTCCCGCTTTGCTCATCCACAACAGTAACATCATCAAAAGAAGAGAAACTATCTAATTACTTTCACAAGATTAAGTGTTCTCAGTGAGGTATATTTAATATATGGCTCATGATAAGACTGCTCAGTCTTGTCTCCCTACCGCCAGCAATGTTACGCAATTTGAGATGTGAAAGATGCCATGTAAATATAAATTGCATTATACTATTGATTTTTTATTATAAAAGGGTTACTGACAATTAACTTCAATCCTTGCTGGCACAAAGGTACAGATAAATTGCTTCCATTATGGGATATGGACAACATTGACCTGATTGACAATATTGCCTATATCCTAGCCTGCATTTAGTTTCTGGCTTTATGCTCCTGATGCTTCCAACCTGTTTTCAAGGACTATCCGCAGCAACATTTCCAAGCAGAACGCAGCATCTTCTTCATCATACGTCTCTTCATCCGGTGTCACAGAAATGAGAGCCTGGTGAAATTACAGATTTTAAAAGGAGGGGAAGCAAATCAACCTTAGAAATGTAAGGAATAGTTTAATTCTAAAGTTAGATTATCTTTACATCACCAATATAGTATATACAATTTTGAGAGGTTTAAAGAGTCAAAAATAAGTCAGGTCTCTATATTAAGGGTATCTAATTAGTTTTCATCAAATACAGTATTTTCTATCAATTCCATAAAAATAGAAAATCTTACCCCATTTATTCTGAAATAAACCTCTTTTGTTTAGTGAAACATCATAATAGTTATTAGTTAGCATGCTTTAAAATGTCTGAAGTAATTTGAGTCCGTTTGGAATGATTTCAATATAAGCAATTCAGATCACATCAATTGGCAACCTTCCTTCCTCGCACTCAAGTGTGTACACGTGTTCTCAGTTTCTCAGATGTAACTTACTCGAGAATGTAAAAATATACATTGTTATTTAACAAACCTTCCCAATTTAACAAGCTAATCAGATTCATAACAGACCTTGTTGTATGTTTTGCAAGACAGAAATCAGCAACACACACAACAGAATAAAAAAGAATGATATGTACTCTTTATTGGAACGGAACTGTTTGCCTGCCCTAGAGAAACATCTATGCAGGATTTTGGAGATCAAGAATGCCACAATGAAAAATAAAGGCATTAAGAGAAGTCAAAATGTCTCCAAGCCAACTGTTCCACTTCTAATAAAGAGCCATACATGCAGCTTTAATTTGTCTTTTAGATATTGCAAATCCTTCACTGTCCAGCACCTTGGAATGTCCTCCTGACGTGAAAGGCGATATATAAATGCAATTTTTTTATTGGTTTGTTTATTGACTTGCTGTCATTTCTAGCATTTCCTCCCAGTTTCACGAGGAAGGAAGAGCAAACTTTTAGGATCTGCTGCACTGAAGAGGATAAAGGGAGCCAAGTTAATATTCACAATTGAACTGACTTGATTATTGATGTATACTGGGTTAAAAGGTCTAGTGAGGTTATTTACATTTAAATCTAATAATCTGGAAGCAACCACACTGTTGATGGCCAAGTACAATATTTACTTTCAACTACATACCTTCATTAGCTCTTGCAGAGATTCCAGTTGAAGAAATTTGCTTTCAGTGATCAGCTTCTCTGGATCACATTGCTGGAATTAAAAGGTCAAAAGCAGATAAGTTAACTGTATCATCATCAATATTATCAGTCACCAAGTTTCCTGGGCATTACCATAAATTGTGACAATTAACAACAACAACAACTTGGATTTATATAGCGCCCTCCACGCCGGACGGTGTCTCAGAGCGCTTAACCTGCTAAATATTTCAAACATTTTCCCTTTCTCATTCTTCCTCTACTCTACTGAAGGCACCAATTCTTCCTAGAGTATAGTTTCACAGTCACTGGAAGAACTCTAGTTCCTTACCAAAGTAGCCATTCTTATCTGTGAACCCAGAAAATGAGTGTCAGCAGGCTATTCAACTATTGAGGGCATTGCAGCTGCCAACCAGATATCAATTGGGAGCAGAAAAACTGATTTATTCTTTTCCCTTCCTAGCTCAAGAGAGCCAAGAACAGTTGTAGGATTCAAATGGTAGTTAATTATATTGTAAATGTAGAAACATTGTTTTCCTAGATCTATGGTCTTGTAATGCCAATAAGACCTCATAATAATATGTTTATAGTCATAGATAGCCTACAATTCAGGGACAATATATTTTTTCAAAGCATCCTTCAGATAATTCACCTTAATACATTCCAATGCTGCTTGCTTTGCTTCTTCATTTTCCATAGATGGTCCCCTGAGGCCAGACTGTTCATTGCCACTCAGTGTGAGCCAGCTAACAAAGCTTAAGACTGTAGATTCACCGCTGTATTAAAAAATATATATTATTTCAGATAATTTATTGCACAAGAAAGACTTCATAAAAAAAAGTTTCTCCAGAGGTTTTGACCATTAACAGCACCTTCCAATTGACTTAAAAATAATCAAATGCCTCTAAATTATGCTCATGTACTACCTTCAGTTAAGAAATTTTAATTAGTGATGAGAAATGTTTAACAACTTAAAAAAATGGAAAGTACACTGGTCAACAACAATATTTGTATAACTCCTTTAATGTGAGGTCATGTAGGGATTTGTACACGAGGACAGGCTGCTGAATTCAAGCTGCTGAGAGCTGGATTAGGATGGGGGTGATCGGCTCCCAAAGCCTGGTGGGGGAGAGGGCATACTTATAATGAACGTTTCTCTGCTTGAAATTTATTCAAAAACGTCTGACTGTAATAATTTCTATCAAAGTGAATGTGTAAAATGGAACAAATTCCCATAGTGATATATACTTAAATAAAATTGCTATTTGATTTGACCCATAAAATTTCAAAGCTGGTATAACTGCACTTTGCGACTCTCTGATCCCTCTGCGTCTGGGAATTGTTCCAAGGAAAGCAGTGCTCTCCTAAATTATGTTGAATGCTGGTTAATTTTTCGAGTTATTAAAGATTTTGGAATGTCTCTAATAATTTTAAAAACCTTAAGGGCAATTCATTCCATCACTCAAAAACCTTTCAATTTCAACTTTCATCTTTTGCAAAATTCTTTGGGATCGGATGAAGTAAGACCAAAGTCATATTGCGTGTCAATTTCATTCTGAATCTACCTCCAAGATATCCTTCCACCAGACATACTCTAAATAGAATCACTCTCAGCTCAGGAGCAGTTACACTCCACTATTGCAATTAATTTCCCTTTGTAGAAGCAAAAGCAACAATTTATGGAAAGCACAATTACTGACAAGTTCAGATACTTTCTACAAAAAAGTTCAGAATTGGCAAGGTAGAAGCAATCTATTTGAAGTATAGTTATGTATTTTGCTGTACAATAGTAGTGGCCTATAGTTTACTAATAATAATACTACATTTAGAAGTCAACTGATAAGTGAAACTAATAATTAAAAAAATATGCTATGAAGTAATCTTTCTTAAACTGATTATATAAAATCATAAGATCCTGTGAACATAGAAATAAAAAAAATGCTTCATGAATGTTGCAATGATATCCAGCAAGACTACCAACTGGGATTGAACGTATTCATTTGGTTTGGATTATAGCTAGAACTATAGTGATACATAACAAGAACAAATCAGCTAAGCAATTAGAATTGTTAGTAGGAAAAAATCATCTTAACTTAGGTGTGTACTTATGCAGCCTGACTGGTTTCAGATGGCCAGTCTACATTCACCAAGGTTAATAAACAAGTAAACACATACCATAAGGAAACATGACCTTCTATCCACTTTGAAGCTGCTGTAGCTCATATTAGGTCAGGGAAAAATCCAGAGTCACATTCAACAACCTTTCACTGGCTTCAAAGCGTGTTCCCCCCATTCCCCACCCCAGAATTACATTTTATTTAATAAAATTTGACACCTCTGTAAAGATCCTTTCTTTTCTTGACCAAAACTAAGAAATTAGGTGTAAAAATTATGTAATAACTCCGGAAACAAAAAATATTAAAATGTTCTTGAATATATTCTAAAAAATGAGACTCTTCAGTACTTTCTCTCAAATTTACAGCATCAATAACTTAGCAGCTGGACCAATAGAAAAGTGTGGCTGCACTATCCCCACAGAACCCACCACAAACACCCTCATGCGCTACAAACCCGCTATAAATGTAGTTTCTGGCCCGCGGGCCAACGGGCTGTTTACCTGATGTCACTGTGGGGGGGAGGGGGGGGGGCAACACAAGCAGCAAATGGATTTCACTCGGAGGCTCCACTGTTGTGATTGTCTGTGTATGTGAGAGTATGTATGATTGTCTGTATATATGTCTCTCTATATGCATTTGTGTGTCTCTGTGCGTGTGTCTGTGTCTCCCTGTTTGTGAGCGTCTGTGTCTCCCTCTCCTCTGCGTGTTTGTTGGTGTGCATGCGTGTCTCTGTGTGAGTGCTCGTCTTTCTCTGAGTATGTGTCTCTGTGTTTCTGAGTGTGTGTCCCTCTCATCATCTGTGTATGTCTCTCTCTGTCACTCTCTGTGTCTGTCTGTGAGAGAGTGTTTGTGTGTGTCTGAGTTGTGTCTCTCTCTCTTGGTCTGTGTGCGGGGCCTTGAGAGATCCTGTAGCCTCATTGGTGTTCCCCCCTCCCCACCAAAAAAAAAGCCACACAGATTTTGTTAAAGAAGACTTTCATTTTTTTTTGCAACAATCTAATGTGTGTTATTTTCTCATATTTAGTTTTTATCAATAAAGTGAAAAAATGTAGTTTGACAGTAAAATATACCTCAATAACAGCAATCAACTCCCCGCCGGTTTCTGCAAAATTTGCCAAAGTCCCCCGCAATTCTCCACAAAATTTGCAAATCTCACTGCAATTTTTAGCAAATATTTTCACACTTTTCTATTGTCCTAGCTTATCAATTACATCTGCATAATCACTGGAGAAAAGACATCATTGCTACTAATCTGAACATAGTCACTCCACTTTGCAAAATATCCAGTGAAGTGCCTTGAGATGTCCTTCTAATATAACATTCACCAGCATTACATCTAGAAATATTAATCATATCTTCCTGCTGCTGATCTCAGTAATCTGGTTGTAATAAATTCCTTAATGAAACTATTATGTAAAGTCAAAAGTGCCCATACTGATAATGATCCTTGAATTTGATATAGTGCCTTATCACTTAACCAAACAATTCAAAACACTTAATAGGATTTACTGTAGATTGTAGTGACTCTGTATTTGTAGGTGAATGTGTAGTTCATTCACTAGAATGTAATGCACAGAATCAGGTATAGATTCAGGTAGTGAACATAAAATGTAGCAATTTACAGCGATGAATCACTGTTTTAAATGAATATGAATTGATGAGGCTTGGAGTAAAATACCCTGAAGGTACAGTTTAAATATTCTCTGAAAAAATACAATGTGCATTCGTTTTTATTTCCTTCCTACCGGTTTGAAGGAGTTTCTTCACGCTGGAGAGAGATTTTCCCATTGGGTTCCACAAAGTCTTCTACCTGAATGTGCAAGAAATTGCTTAATTAGCAAAATGAAATTCAAAATCAGTCAGTCTCATCTTTCTGAAAAATATATTTCAAGGGCATAACTTAAAATGATATTGAAAAAATCTGTCAAATATCAACATAATTGAACAATTATTTAACATCAAACGCAATATCCATCACTAACAAAGGGAGGTCATTAAATATTGAAGCATTAAACAGAAGTATTCAAAGCTAGACCAAAATGTCAAGAAGAATTTGATATCCAAGATCTGTTAATTTAAGCAGTTCCAAGAATAAATGCTGAGAAAAAAAATATTAGAAGCATTGAATTTCAAATCATTCCATATGAATGCTATGTATACACATCCACTATTGTCCTGTTCTTTTAAATTTTTTCTTTGCTTGGCCTGGAAAGAGATTATGATAAACTGATTGATGAAGATATTGACATATAAAATGAAAAGGCTTCAACTCAGCTGACTGCTGAGTAACAAATATTAAATAATTCTTGAATAATTCAACAACTGCTAATACCTCCACATTAGTAGCATGCTTATTCTTATGAACGAGATCAAATGCTTCATCAATTTACCTACCTCCCCACCACCCAGACCCACTTTACTTTTATTCACCCACAAAATATACAATCAATTCACTTTACAGTATATTCTATGAAGCTCTCTGAGATGTCTTGATGTATGATAATGGTCTATATCAAACACAATTATTATTATTCAAAATCTATATAAGTTTGGGTCAATAAAGAAGTTGAAAACTCAAGTCACTTAATAATGCACATGACATTTGCTAACTTGCAATATTACAAACTTCAAACATGAACAAGCACTGTTGATATGCTTGTTGCTAATTTTAAAATACGGTAGTACTTCCACTGTACGAGCCACATTTTCAAAGCACGTACAATCTTTACAAGTTAGAGCATTTTAGTTCTGTAAATTGAACAGCAGGTGGCAATGTTAAGCTAGTCTAACCAAGGGAAGATGTCAGAACCATTTTCTAAGTTTCTGTAGTATCCTTCATTATTCAGCCTGAATACTCTCTAACGTAGTGTGAAAGTGGGATGGCGGGAGTGGGGAGAAGAGAGGACAGTGGAGTAAAATATGATAATTATGTTTTGCTCATCTTCTCCAACACAAAGGCGGTCAGGCCTCCAGCCTTTCTGTCCCCACTCTATGAAATTCCATCCCTGAATCCCTTCGCCTCGCTTCTTCCCTTAACTCTTTCAAAGACCATTTCAAGACCTTTCTCTTTTACTGCATCTTCAATGATAAGAACGTAAGAAATAGGAGGGAAGAGAATTCCATAAATTCACTACCCTCTGAGTGAAGAAATGTTTTCTCAACTCAGTTCTAAAGGGCTGACCTTCAATCTTGAGACTATGAACCCTAGTTTTAGATTCTCCAACCAGGGGAAACAGTCTCACACTATCTATCGATAATAATAATAATATAATAATCCTTGCATTTGATATAGCGCTTTTCATGTCGGGAGGACGTCCCAAAGTGCTTCACAGAACACACTGCAAAGTGAATTGACTGTATATTTGTGGGCGAACGCGGCAGCCAATTGCGCACAGCAGTGTCTCACAAACAGTCATGGATTGAAAATGACCAATTTATTATTGTTTTTGTTTTGGAGGGATTATTATTAGGCGTGTGGAGTAAGGAAACTTGCCCAAGGGTTCGCCCTGCCTGGAATTGAACTCGGGTCTCTCGCTTGCAAAGCGAGTGCTCTAACCACTGAGCTACAGGACTCCACGATCTTCCAACCCTATCCCCCTTGGCTCCAACCGCTCTCGAAATCAACCCCAGCTTGGGTACAAGCGCTCAACTGTCCAGCGCCTTGGGACATTCCTCCCAACGGGAAGTATAAATGTAATTTGTTATTGCTTTTTTTACCTTAAAAAAAGCTCACCAGTTTTATCTGAAGATTCAGAAAGCAGAAACGTTTTAAGCACTTCTAATTGGGGCACGATGCAGGAAGAAAGTTACACTTTAAAGTGGTAAAATATTTTAACAAAATGCCTTCTGGCTAAAGGGGCTATATCAAATGAAAGGACTGTTATTATTTTATAGTGAAATTCCTTTCTTGCAATGATGCAATTATTACCAGTAGCTGAATTTAACCTGAGCCTGAAATCAAACAATGTATTAATTCAGAGATTTGAATAGCTATATTTCGCTGAAGATTACTTGTGAGGATATTGTCTAGTTCTAATTATGTATTTAAATAGCAATTTGACATAGGAAGCGTCAGCAATTGAAACCATTTATAGCCAATTAAGCAGCCTCGCATCTTTTAAAACAAAGTATGTTGATGTATCTCCTGTGTCATTATGTTTGAGATGGGTATCTAACACCGATTTCAGAAGATTGATAAAACTGTTTCGATGAACAGTGAAACATTCAACCATTGTTGCTTAATCTTTGGCAATTTAATCACTTTGGTGTCTGGATATCAAAATTGGAATATGATTCTTGTGATTCAATTGTGTTTCATATCCATATTTGAAATACTCCAATTCAGTTACAATTCAGTTAGAAATGCTTACCTCCACCATGGCTTTTGGTAAAAGCTCAGCACGGAAGAGCTGCAACATTGCATCCATAATGTTCTTCCACCCCTCTCTAAGAATGTCACCATGACGATGAGCCAAGTTAAACACAGTTTTGGCTGCGAGTTGAGCTTTCGCATTGCTACCAAAAACATTAGGAAGGTTCTCCACTGACTACATAAAAAGACATCATATTAAAAAGTGAAAAAAAATTACATTGAAATCAACTCAGTCATGTATTCATTTCACAGCACCTCACTCCCACATATTTTCTGATAATGTCTGAAATCACATTCATGACAAAATATGTAAATGTTCCATGCAATCTTCCATTTTCAGTATGAAGGGTTTATTTCTAAACAATTCCAGCTGTTCATTACATAATCAATTTGCCATATCTCTCTCATTTCACAAGAGACAGGGTCAGGACTGAGATTTTATTGTTTTGAAAGACTCATTTGTTCACTTTCTAGCATATCCCTTTCCCCAGCAACTGCAAGACTTTACCGAAAAAACATCCCAAGCACCTCATATGATATTTTACCAACCAAATGTCAAATCACACTAAAAATCCATAATTACTTGGTCAATGAGCTTTGGCAATTGGATTAAACGTTAAACACAATGCAATCTCCAGAAAAAATAGATAAGTTACCATTGTATACAATGTCCTAACATTTTTAAACCTTGTTTCAACCTCAAAATGTGCAAGGATTACAAGCCACTTACCTCACTACTAAGAGCTGTAAACTTGCACAGAGAAATGATAAGGTTGTCAAACACATCACTAAGTCCATAATGAGCTGAGATCATTGCACATTTCCTGAATACAGAAGGCAAGAAAGAATGAGCTATCATTAGATAATATAATTAATACACAGCAATGATTTGATCAAACCTTTATAAGTTGTAATATTCTGAATGGCCAAACTTCATTTGTCAGCTTTATGGAAGACATTGGCCTCGCAAGCGAGAGGACCTGAGTTCGATTCCCAGGCAGGGTGAAACGCTGGATGATTAGAGTCGGGCTTTTCGAGGCAGAAGGACAAAACCAGTATTCCATTTAAATTTATAATAAATTTAAAATATGCACTTAATATTTAATGGAACAAGCATATAACTTGATGACACCCCAAAGCCTTAAACTAAGTCGGAGTAGTAATACATAAAATCCTGGCACTTACAGTTTGAGCAGGGGAACGAGTTACATGACCCTCCACAGTACAACTCTCCTGCCTGCTCAAACCCCTAGTGTTTTTATCCCCTTGTCCTCTCACACCCACAAAATACACATTCTTACAGATGATGAGTTTTCATGCAAAACATCCTGTAACTGAGACAGTGCAAGCCAGTTCACATTCCTCCAAATTGAGACAGTGAGACAGTTCCTGCTACCTGTGGGTTGTACATGACTGAAACAATACCACAATACCATGCAACATTCTAACACACTCCCATTCAAACGAGTATTCAATCAAATTTGCAGGTTCTTTGGTCATAACATCACCACTCCCCCCCTCAAGTCGCCCTAACATTCAATCTATTTTTCTCCATCTTCAACCTAAATTGTATACTGTAGAAGTATATGACATACATTCACCACCAATAAAACAAAATCAGATCTGTACGTGCAAAGTTGCATACGTGCACTCAAGTTTGTGAGAATCACGATGTTGGAGTCATTCTATTCTAGCAATTTTGTGTGCAACTGCGTTCAATGCATACTATTTTTTATACAGGCATCTTGCACTCTATACATGGAGCTAATTGCAAGCAGACAATTAGAATATTACTGTACTAATTTTTGATGCAGATGAATATTTTATTGTTCATTGTTTTTACCTGAAACCTGAAATTGCCTTCTGAATTATACTTTCATCTAAGCTCTTGTCAAATACATATGAAAGTGCAGCTATCGTGGGTCCCCACGTCATGGTGAACAGGTCATGATCATAGGTTCCAGAGGGTACATGTAGGAAAATGCCTTCTGGCGAGCTCCCACGATTCTGAAGAACATTCCACAGATAGTTCTCCTTCACAAAACCAGTTTGCTCCTCTGGCATCACAATCTCATCATTTCTTGAAAGAAAAAAAATTAAAACCAGTTTAGAGATTGGCATTGGGACAGTTGAAGAGTTATCAAAGCAATACTTTTCCTTGAAAATAAAGAAATGCAGTTTCAATCCCTGAGGAAATACCCATTTTCTAAGTTTTATGGAAGTCTATTTCCTCACTTTTTTGAATAGAAATTAATTATAAATCATTTATCTCAAAGAGCACAACACCTTGGGAACAATTATTTAAAAACATATCTACAGTTTAAGTTATTAATGAAAAAAAATAACCGAAATAAGAAAAAGTTCAATGTCACAATATCCTTCCCCTTTACATGGAAAATTTTAAGGTGATGCATTGGTGAATAGGGCATAATGATCAGATTGAATCATCATTCCTTCCATATTCAATAATAAGCAAAACATACAAAGTAATTCTTGGGTAATCTTTTTTCTAAAAAAAATGATTCTTGTTCAAAGGAATATAAAAATAAAGGCAGTTTTGTTCAGCTTTCAGAGTTAACTATAAAATAATTGCAAAGCTTTATAACGTGATCTTTAGAAAACATCACAAATTGAGGCGAGAGAGGCAGGGCAGGGCAATGCGTTGTTTGCTTTTCATACTAATGCAAAACACACCAGTTTGATTATAAAATTACTGCAGCTTAAAATATTTAAATTGATTTACTAGAGTACAGAACCAAAATAAGAAAAGGCCAGAAAATATGGAATACCAAATAAAATACTACAACAGTTCAAATAACTCACCAAAAAAAATCAATAAAGAGCTAACTTGTTAAAAGTACACCCAGAAAGCTTGATGGGTTTACATTCAATCATGTTGAGCTTGTTATACTAACTTGCCCTTAATTTAATTGCTAACCTTGACACCCTCTTTTCCCATCATCATGATTGTCCAAAAGGCTTCTTATTCAACATTTAATTATTAGTAGCTCACAAGCAATTGAGAAATACAAATACAAATTACTTTCTTTATATCATCCCTGAAATTAAGTTTTGCAAAATGCGTTTTTCAATTTAGAGTATTCAATTTAACATTTTCCAAACTTCGCTGTGTTAACACCAACCTATGTAAAAAAATTGTGAGAAGTCAAAAAATATAAAAATGTTCCCATGAGTCAACTATCTCTTGACATTAATCTATGTAGGTGGTACAGATGAAAGATTTAATACTGTGTGCAAAAGCAAGGTAGCTTTCAAGAATTATGAATTGCATGTGTTCCAGATTGAAACCATCTGAGACTAAAATATGAACATCCTGCATCTCAGGCAGTTTGAGCTCCTCGTCTTTGAAGCAACCAATCCCCAGCATTACAGTAAATTAAATCAAGAATATTTTCCCATATTTTCTTAAATCTTTGGCAAGGTCTCTTTTGCATAAAACTTCACATGAATTTAGAAACATAAAAAATATCAAAATACAAGTAATTGCTGCAAAGTGAAATAATTCTCTTGAAAGGAAGAGTAAGAATGAAAATAGTTTACATTAATCTGATTGGATTGTATTAATTGCCTTAATACTGCTAGTTCCATGTTTAAATCCACATTATAACCACCCAGACCTTTCCATGAGGAACATATGAACTAGAACAACAGCCATCAACTAAATATAGCTTGTTTCCTGTGTATTCATACACAAGTGGCCGTCTCTTTTTATTTTATTAACTCTAGCGATTTGCTCTTGAAGTAAATTCAGTAAATACCTTACATTTTTGGCACAGGTCAACGGTGGGTTTCAGTTCTGCCAGCTACAATTATACTATCTACAAGATATGCTTTCACCTTTACTGTTTGTGAAATGGCATTTATAGTAAAAATAAATCATGTGCCAATGCAAAAAGCAATCCCATTCCTGATCACAGTCCAATTGCTGCAGCTTGACTCATACTAAGGCTGCAAACAAAGTGGAATTATAGCCAGAAATGATTTACTGACTTCAGCAGAAAATTGGGTTCAAAATCTTTGGTATAAAAATCCCTCCAAAAAAACAAAACAATAATAAATTGGTCATTTTCAATCCATGACTGTTTGTGGGAAATTGCTGTGCCCAATTGGCTGAAGCGTTCGCCCACAAATATACAGTCAATTCACTTTACAGTATATTCTGTGAAGCGCTTTGGGACATCTAGAAGACGTGAAAAGCGCTATATCAAATGCAAGGATTATTATTATCTTTACATGATCCATTATAAAAAAACATTCAAATATATTTGGCTACCAACAAAAGCAACCAAAACATTTAAATTTTAATATCAGGATGGCAAAGAACCTAAAGCAGTTTTGAACAAAACAGTCAATAGTCTATACAGAGTGAATAAAGAGAAACATTTCTTACCTGTATTTTGCTCAGTCTTGTATTTTGTTGAAACAAACATTGTGAGGTAGTTAATAGGAATGAAGGTTTAAATTAAGCAAACTTACTTGATTGCATTATAGAGGTCTTCCAACATGTCTTGGTCAAATTCTTTGGAGCCATTGACTCCTTTTAGGTTCTTTTTGAACTCCTGTGTGTGAAGAAAGACAGTTAAGGGAACAAATTTTATCAAAATATATTGATAATTCAGAAGATATCTGGATAGCTAATATTTTACACACACATACACAAGTTGTTTATGAATCCTTCAAAATAAGGTGAAAAGTCATGACAAAAGAGTGTGTCAGTCCCTTTTGTTAATAAAAATAATGTGTTGTGACTATTTTATACAAGTCAAGAGATAAAAGTAAACAATTTAAAAAATTAATCAGAACATCTTTAGATACGAAAATCTTTTTTTCATATAATAATTTAATATTACACAAACTTGCAAGAACCTTTAATAATAACTAAACCTAAAGCACTCAAGATGACCATCAAAGGATTATTATTATTATCAATTTGTAATCTTAAAGTACCTGGATGTGGAACAAGGTATAGTGTTATCTGAGAATAGAATTTAAAGCAACTGCCTCGAATATTAAATTCATATAAACTGGATTTAGATAATAAAAGGTCTTGTTGATATGATGCTCAAAGATTTTTAAAAAACAGATTAAATCAGAATGAGAACTTCACTGCTTTGAGACATTTTATTCTCACTTTTCAAGCATTCTGAATGGACAGTGACCTTTCTGATAACATCTACCTACAGTATTTCACTTCACCTTTTCACAAAGCAATTGTAATATGATGCTGATGACCTCTCTCCAACCTCCTGCTGCCAGTTAATTAGTGACTGCCAATGTTTTTTTTACCCTTCCTGTTTATCTAGTAACTGACAGTCCTAGTTAGGCCACTCTAAATACACATTACACATCCAATTCTAAAGCTCTGACAGCCAGACAGAACTAGTTATTTTAAAGTAGTATCTGCTGCAGTTATGAACTTTTCTTGCATGAGAAACAAGACATATGTGCCATTGATGAAGGCAGATACGATTGTTTTTTCTTTTTAATGCAGCTACCAAATTCAAGGGAACTTTTGTTAAAGCTCAACCAACTGAATCCAATGTCACATCAGACAAAGCAAAGTACTAAACATGGCTGACTGCAGTCATCAGGTCGCCAATGACTTCATTTCCTGCGTATTGTGTGTATGTGCCCTATGCTAAGGAAGCGCTAATTATGTTTATTCCTGCACCCAATGTGCAAAGCAATACTGCGAATGTCATTTCTTTGCAGTCTTTCCTTCACGGGTGATGTTCATGGTGCTTTCTAATAATTCAGTAAGTTATTAAATCTTGGAAGATCTTTCAACCACAATGCCCCACCATTATACCCCCAAATAACAAGAACCTAAATATCAGTTTATCTTTTAAAAACCTTGGTTGATTCTGCCTCTGCCTCCATATTTTTACAATGTTCCATGTGAAGAAATGCTTTTTGACCTCAGGTCTAATTGTCTTAGTTACGATTGTAAGACTGTGCTCTCTTGTCTAACGTGTACGTACATAGTCTGATGACTTTGTGAAGTCCTGTAGCTCAGTGGTTAGAGCACTCGCTTTGCAAGTGAGAGATCTGAGTTCAATTCCAGGTAGGGCAAAACCTTGGGCAAGTTTCCTTACTCCACACAGAGCCTAATAATAATCACTCCAAAACCAAAAATAATAAATTGGTCATTTTCAATCTACGACTGTTTGTGGGACATTGCTGTGCGCAATTGGCTGTGGCGTTCGCCCACAAATATACAGTCAATTCACTTTAGTGTGTTCTGTGAAGCACTTTGGGACGTCCTCCGGACGTGAAAAGCGCTATATCAAATGCAAGGATTATTATTATTATTACTAGTAAATGAAATTCAACAGAAAGCAGTTCGAAATGAATAAATACAAAGTGCCTCACAGACAACGTAAGAACAAGAAACACATGTATTTCATGGAAGGCACTATCATGTCTGTGCTGATGGGACCATGGAAACATCATTTGTGTTTTGCAGCTGCTTGGGATTGAGCATTGTAGAGGACTGTTCAATTGCCTTTGGGATCAAGGACATTTTTTACAGATTGTAACATCCTTGGATATTTTAAACTGTTGCTATTTACCTCCCTCAGATGATTAAATAAATTGTTTTGAGCCTGTGACATTTCACTTGTGCGTGATAAGCTGGAAGAAAAGGGTTTGATGGGCCAAATAAATGGCTTTTGATAGTTTCATACACTTGTGTAACAATATTTATTCCGCTATGAGGGAAGTAAAACACACGAGTAAAGAATACATACCAATATATACCCAACTCTACATACCTCCAGTGTCATTGGCACGTTTTGCTTGCGGACATTGTGATTGTGCTGATCTGTGTTCAGCATTATTACCGCATAGGCAAGAGCAAAGCAGGCATCATTGTTGACAAATGGTGAACCGTTAATTTTCTATAAAAAAAGAAAATTCAGAAAATTCCCATTTTAAAAAAAATGTTAATAATTACTTCCAGCTTTTGCAAATCCTGTGAGTACATATTTTAAATCCTAGTCAGAACACAAAATATGAGTAATTAATTTACCATACATTGAAAAAAAAGTGGCTTGTGACATTAAATGGCTAAAGGGGAGAGTTAGTGCCTCCTTGTTTTAATGATTCCCTCTGCATTGAGAGAATAAAACAGTTTACCTGCAGCAAGAAATCCTCACTATAAAATGAGGAAAGAAACTAAACTCATTCCAACATGTTTTTGCAACTGCTTGTTATAGCTCCTTCAGCACTGGTTAATATCAGAACTGCAAACTACTTAATCTTGCACCCTGCAATGATGAATCCTTTAAGGAATTTGACAGCTATCAAAATAAATTTTCCATCAGAGAACATTTCCCAAAATAAAAATTCCTATAAACTAATGGTCAATCATATAGTAGAATCAGACACATGTCTGTAACCATAGAACATCACTCAATATATTCTCAGAATAAATTAGGAAAAAGTAACACACACACTGGGCACAGAATTTCCTGGGAATTGACCTGCTAATCATTTCTCTGTAAACTTGTTGTAATGAGGTCATAACCAATAATCCTCTTGTATGTACACCATTAACCAAGTACATGGAGGCACCAACAGCTGTTGATGGCTCAATAATTCACTAAAACAAAATAAAAATGCTTGGGGAAGAACCATATACTGTACATTATATAATTAATAGATAAAGAGCAATATTCCACAGTAAAGATAAAGACAATAATGCAATGTTGGATTTAGGTGACTTATAAATTATCACCGTCATATGAACCTATAAATACCTCCTTTTCTCTAGTCTTGCTTTCTCCCCCACTCCCTCTACATTTTGGAGCAAATAGAAAAAACTGCAACTCTCCAGTTTAAATAGCAAGGCATAGCTGACACACTAATAATCCTTGCATTTTGATATAGCGCTTTTCACGTCTTCTAGACGTCTCAAAGCGCTTCACAGAATATACTGTAAAGTGAATTGACTGTATATTTGTGGGCAAAACGCGGCAGCCAATTGCGCACAGCAATGTCCCACAAACAGTTGTAGATTGAAAATGACCAATTTATTATTGTGTTGTTTTTTGGAGGGATTATTATCAGGCGGGTGGAGTAAGGAAACTTGCCCAAGGTTTCGCCCTGTGCCTGGAATTAAACTCAGGTCTCTCGCTTGCAAAGCGAGTGCTCTAACCACCTATAAATCTAAAAACTTCATCAGCCAGACCCCTTAAAAACCTGTATCCAGAAATACTAACCAAATTGTTCAAGTCTTAATATCTGAAATGTATGTTCTCCAAGTCAGAGAAGTACATTAATGGAGGCAAACTGAATGAGGCCATCCACAATGTTCCACAATACTCACTGCTTAAATCATTATCTTCCAGCCCACACAACCAAACTTTCAGAATACTCATACTTTATTTTAAAAAGTAACACTTGACTTGTCAATAACTTTAACATTCTCACCAGTATTTAAGCAGATCGCAGCATGAGAACTCAGCTCTACCCAAGCACAGAACGATTTAGAACATGGCAGTGTAACTCAGTGCTGCTGATCTCTAAAGCAGGCACCAACGTCAAACCTTCAATGTATTAGTAATGTAGACAATAACAGTAACATGAATGTATTCCCCTCCTTTTCAAAGAAGTACAAAGCAACCAGTTGTTAGCTGAAAAAAATCACTAAAATGAGATACCAACAGGTTTTGAATGGAAATTATCTGCAGCGATTCTGGAAGGAATGCAAGCACTGAAACAGATAAGTATACAATAGTGTTGGCAATCCACAGAAGTGACTACCAGCACAATTTTCTCCACATTATAAATGTCCAGTGTTTACGACTCTTAATTTACAGTGTACATACGTGCCAGTGATCTGTAAAGACTTCCAGCAATCTGTGAATGACAGGAGCTTCACCAGGAAGTCTGAAGGCTTCTAGATACGAGCGTAATGCTTCATCGACTCTCAATCCTTGGAAAGTAAAAGTCCTAGTGTTTAAACATCAACAGTAATCAGTAACTGTCAGCCTCCTCAAAAGCAACATCAGAATACTGTTTCAGGTCATGAGTCTTCACTATGAAAAGAATATAATCCGAATGCAGGTAATTAGGCAGTTATGTACGAATCAGAATGTCTTTCTCTTGTATAAATATTTTAAAATATCTGAAGTTTGAAACAAACAATTATGTTAGGTCAGAGAACATTGTATCATTTTTAATTCTGTTTTAATTTTAAATATCCACCAACATTATATCTTCATTAGGTGGAAATCTGATGCAAGTGCTTTAGAATACAGAAGAAAAAATATCTATAGTTCACTTGGAGAGAAAATTCCTCTCTTTGTACATAACCTGGTACTTGCCCCTTCTTCTGCATTTCCGCTTATGTACACGATACAGAGCAGCAGCATACATTCTGGAGTGGTTAATTGAGTCTAACTGAATTCTCTGAATCTGTACAAAAGCAAGAATTCCTCACGAAAAATAAACTGCACTTTTTCAAATGATGTACATTTTTCCCCATATCTAGAGGGAGTATTTTGAACAGAAATTGTTCATTTTAAACTTTTGTTCATTTTAAACTGCAGAAGAAGGGATAAGTACCAGGTCATGTCTAAAGAGAGGAATTTTCTCTCCAAGTGAAGTATAGATATTTTTTCTTCCCCTTTAAGAACAAGTAATTCATGTATGCAGTAAAACATGTATTGGATTGATAAGGAAAAAAATAAGCAGTCACATCTGCATCTTGTTACGACCTCAACAATAGACCTTACAATTAAAAAGATATTGCACGGACTAATATTGTCAATATTAAATACTTCCGCCTCTGAACAATATTAAAATCATTGCTAAGGTACTGCACATAACTCAGACTGGAATTTCAGCCACAAGATAGGTAGAGTTATCCCATTTTTCCCTTGCATTTCAGCACCAATAGATATCCACTATTTCAGATCTCCTTGCACATCAATCAGCTACTCCAGCAATGTCAATTATTGGCATGTCTGAAAACAGCTTCAAAGAGAATCAACATATTGACATACAGGCTGGCCTGGGTGTTGATTGGGATGCACTGCAGCCAGAAAATGTCAGTGTCAGCTGGGAACCATGAGTTGCTTGGAAACCACTGCTCACTAAGTAAAGTTTTCCAGGCCTTTGTCCAAATAACATTGTATGAACATCTTACAAGCAACAGACAGCTAAGTGAAAGGAATTATTAGCATTTAGGATATGTTTTATCAGAATTGAATAGCTTTACTTCTATCTGTATATAATTAAATTTTACAAATGAAGCTAAATTCAAAATACATTGGAAAACAAACATAATCTATGAGGCACCAATCTGGAAGAAACTTCAGCTGTCTATAACTGTGGAGCTCAGCTTCTCCATACACCCTTGCCATGCACACTCATTGTACAGTTATGGTTCTTATGTTCAATAACTTACATGCATTCGAATTAATGTAAGAACTGAAAAAAATGAAAACTGTTAACTTAGCAACTCACTGTATGAGGGAATTAAGATGTGAAGCATGAGCATTAATCACTTCAATCAATGACATATGAGTCAGTACAATTATGACGGACATATGATTGCTCAAATCAGGAGTAAGAAAGATCAGTTTACATAATCAATGAGTTAAATATTCAGAGGAAGTAAAAAGACTGAATGGCCCTTTATCGATCTCTGAAACACTCCCCTTCTAGGGTCTCAAAAGAAATAACCTCGTTCCACCTCATTTCTCATGTCCTGTAGCATGCAGTGTAAGCACAGAAAATTCTCGTTTCCTAGATGACCAAAGGTGGCCCACCTAAATCTGGAATTTCAGTTGTAGTTAGCATAACACTGATTGTTCAATTTTGAGGTTGTATAAACTTGTTCATATTCACCATTGATTCAGAAAATAAGGTTATAAACAAGTTTGCATACCCAACAAAACTGTCCAGGAGTTCAATATTTTTACGATCACTGACAAACTCTCCAATCATTTTTTTGTCCAGTCGTGGGTTTTCTCTGAGCCACTGAGCTACTTCGTTATTATCCATTGGGGAAGCAAGCAGGCCTTTCTCCTGAAGAAACTGAATGCCTTTTTTTGGTTTCTGATTGAACTGTTCCGTTCCTGCAATAAGCAACTGAAGAAAAAGAAAAATCATTATTTTCCCCCATTTTCAAACATTTTAAAATTCATTAAAGTTCGAATGAGATGCTCTCAGGTATTAAAACATGAGATTGCGCTTTTTTACGTGACCAACAAAACCCTGCACAGCTTCTCTGTTTAGATGTCAGCTTGGTTCGGTTCGTAACTTTTTCTCCTCTCAGAAGGTTGTAGGTTCAAGACCCACATTTGGACTTTGAGCTCAGTCTAGGTTGACAATTAAATGCAATACTTTCTAGAGGTGTTGTCTTTGAAATGAGACATTAAACCAAAGTCTTGTTTCTTGTTTGCCTGTTCAAGTGGACGTTGATCAAGATCCCATGGCACTATTAGAAAAGAAGAAAGTTTTTCCCAGTGTCCTAACCAACAAATCCCCAGAAAAAATTAGTCATTCACTTGATGGTTGGTGGTTGGTTGTGGAAAATTGGCTGCTGCGTTCATCTACAAATACACAATCACTATACTTCACAGTAAAATCTTGAGTGGTGCTTTGAGGCATTTCAAAAACAAGATAAGGAGTTATCTAAAATGCAAGGATTTTCATGGTATTATTATGTACCAGAGTGGAAATGCTGGTTTCACTCAATCTTGCCTCCAGCCAGTTTCTGATAACAATGAACGCAATATAACCATCCTAGCGCATAAGCCAAGCATTTCTCTATGGAGAAATGTCTAAAATAATCAGAAACTGCAACCTAAACTGATTTTACATGCTTCTCAGCAGTACTGTCAAAGGATTCTGAGCACATCAACAATCATATTGGGATGACAAAATTGACTCTCACAAGGATAGGGTTTGGATTGAGGAAGTGAAAATTAAATTATTGTTGATGCTAGACCATCTGCATCCCTGTCATAAATCAGAAGATGGAATAAGACTCAGTTCCGACTCCACCTTCTGATCCAGGCATTCCTTCTGCTCCAGTTGCTTCTTCATGTAGCAAAAAGTCAAAATAGCAAATAGTGCTTCTTCCCCTAAAGTATGTTTTTAAAACCTAGCTGCAGCACAACATTTTTACACGTCATTTGAAAGCTGACTGCTTCCTATACAATGTTATATTTAAGCCCTCTGGGACGCTACCCTGCATGAGGGGTACTATATAAATGCAAGCTGTTGTATTTAACAAAACTATTGCAATTTTAGTTCAAAAGCTTGTTCAAATGCTATAAAAGCTGTGATTCTCTTTCATACGACTTTGCAGCAGTGTACCATAATTTGTTCAACTAAATGTTTTGTGTTGCAGGGAAGAAGGAAAGAGAGAAAGAGGGAGAAAGACAACTACAACAACAACTTGCATTTATATAGCGTTCACATTGGGTATCCACTTATAATAATAATAATAATCCTTGCATTTGATATAGCGCTTTTCACGTCGGGAGAACGTCCCAAAGCGCTTCACAGAATCCATTGGAGGCATAGTTCAAATAGGTAATGCTCCAATGCAACATGTCAGAGCCGTGGAATATATTTTACCCCATAATTCTCCAACTAATAATAATAATAATAATCCTTGCATTTGATATAGCACTTTTCATGTCGGGAGGACGTCCCAAAGCGCTTCACAGAACACACTGTAAAGTGAATTGACTGTATATTTGTGGGTGAACGCGGCAGCCAATTGCGCACAGCAATGTCCCACAAACAGTCGTAGATTGAAAATGACCAATTTTATTATTGTTTTTTGGTTTTGGAGGGATTATTATTAGGCTCTGTGTGGAGTAAAGAAACTTGCCCAAGGTTTCACCCTCTGCCTAGAATTGAACTCAGGTCTCTCACTTGCAAAGCGAGTGCTCTAACCACTGAGCTACAGGACTCCACTTAGAGTGCTTAACAGTGATGGAGCCTGACACTGAGCCGAGGAGGAGGTGACCGTAGGCACAATCGAAGAGGAAGGTCTTAAGGTGTGATGTGAAAATGGAGAAGGAGAGGGCAAGGCAGAGGGATTGAGGGAGAGAGTTCCAAAGTTTCAGGGTGTAGTGGCTGAAAGCAGAGCCGAAGGTGAAGTGGAGGGGACGAGGAACAGCAGGAGGCCAGAGCCAGGCAAGCAAAGGTGGTGGGAAGTGGAGTGGGGAGTAAGCAGGTCGGAGAGGTAGAGAGGTGCCAGGGCATGAAGGGATTTGTCAACGAGAGAGAAAGAGAGACAGAGTGAAAGACAGAGAGAGAAAGAAAACTAGAGAGAGAGAGAACGAGAGAGAAAGGGAGAACGAAAGAAAGCAAGAAAGGAAAGATGAATGTATCCATTAGGTACACTTAATAATATGTGAATGGATATACATAGAACATTTCATATCTGTTAGAGCATGCAGTTACATTCAAAAGTTTCCAAACATATGTACTATAAATAACTAAGTAACTAACCCAATAACAATGTGAAGCTATGATTTGACGACTTTCCATATTAGCCATTCATTTTTTGAACATTTTGTTTTTTCAACTGTAGATTTTGTTTCACAGTTTCATCAGTTCAGTCATTTAGTTATGTATAATATATTTGGAAAAATATTTTACATTGTCTGCACTGCCAGATATGAACTGTTCCATGTCCATCTGTGCACATATTGTTATGTATACCCAATGAATGAAGTGTTTTGTAATGTAATAAACATTATCGTTTAAAAATTTCTCGTCCTCTTCAGAGTTATGTGCAGAAAGCTCCCAATCTTATTCGATGTATCAGAGGGAAGAAAGCAAGGTGTATCCCAATGAGGTAAAGAAAACTGCATGCTTCATAGCGTAGCAAGGTATTCTGACATTCAATTCTTGCTGGTGTTATCTGCGTTACACAAGAAACTTTGGGAGCAGAGAAACAATTCATTCTAAAATCATACTTTTTTTTGTAAGCAGGTATTTTAGACAACGTAATATCAGTAAAGAAGCTAGAAGGAAGCAACTTAACAAGGATGAGCTGTATCATTTTTATTCAATTAACTATTTAACTCATTAAATTAACTCATTGCAGTTTGGAAAGGAATTTTAAAAGATTAAGTACCCAATTTTATCAGATAGATCAAACAATAAGGATTTTACTGTTTAAGGAATGCCACATTCAGTTTCTACCTACAACAATGTATATTACCTTCTTCTTGCTTTTAATCTCGGACAACTCTTCAGCACTTGGTAGAAAAGAAGAAAATCGAGGTGGTTTCTTCGGAATCTTTTTCTCAACTGCAGAGAAACATATTTGTGAGAAATCTTCCACAGTATTTAAAACAAATATTTCCATTCAGTATAACAAAAAAATAGTCCTTTACATATGTAAAGTCAGAAGCTCAATCTCTGCTTCAAAGTCTACTTTTATATTATAAGTACATTTTATTAATAAAAAGTGGATTTTTGCATAGATGTTTGCTCCAAATGGAGGCCATTGAAAGATTGGCACGTGTTCCTTAGAAGACTTAGAATTGTACCAGTTATTGAGGTGCAAGCCATTATCATAAGTTACACAAACTGGTCTGAAAATCTCTCAATTTAAATGAAAGCTTTACCAGTTTCATTTTGCTCTGCAACCTGTCGTCCTAGTTTCATCTTGTGAGCCATAAGGTGACCACTGGTGGGTGGATGAGGTACAGAGGTTTCCACATCGAAAACAGGCAAACTCCGATTAGTCCCTGATCTTTCAACACCTGCACAGCAAGTAAAATACTGCAGAATTAAGAAAAGCAAAAACCAAGTAGTATAATTTCATTAAAATAATACATAAATATAACGCTTGTGTGAATTTTGTGTTCATTGAAACCTTATATTCATAGATAATCCAAATGAGAATACAAGGGAATCTGGTTATAACGTCTCAGTTTAGCAGAGTGATCTTATAGTATACTGTAGACCTGTACTATAGAAGCACTGCAGCATAATTCTAAAGTATGAATGTTGAGAGACTGAGAAAGGACGAGGCAACAGGATTAGAAAGATACAGGTGATGTGAGTTAATAAAAAGTAATAGAAGTCATGGCTGAAATTGCTTCCTGTGAGAGCCATGCATGCACAGGAAGAGAGGTGAAGATTTTCACTACTTCTTACCATTCGTGATGTCTTTGCTATTCTTCATTTCTATTGTTGATTTATTTGCATCCTTTTTGTCCTGCTGTAAAGTATTATTGAGAACTCTTGCTTGGCAATGAGCTTCAGTGCTGTCAATAACTGTTAGCAAAGCCTCAAGTGACAACAAATGGGTGGTGTATAGCTGTCCAGATACAGGAAAAGCATTCTAGAAGTAAAAAGAAAAGCTCAGTAATAAACCAACAGAGAGAACACAATTAAATCACAAGATGGTCATTAATTATGTGATATCCCACGACTATTTGTGGGACACTGCTGTGCGCAATTGGCTGCCTCATTTCCCCCACAAAATATGCAGTCACTTCAATTTACAGATTATTCTGTGAAGAGCTTTGAGACGTCTCGAAGATGTGATAAGGTGCTTTATCAAATGGAAGGATTATTATTATTATATCATTCTGAAGCAGCGCTTTGAGACATCCTCCCGACGTGAAGGGCGCTCTATAAATGTAATTTTGTTGTTGTATTTTGTTGTTGTTGAACTTCAAGAATGCAAAGAATGAAACATATGTTAACATCTGTCAATGTTCTTGCACATAAAACCAACAAATGGAGTTAAACCTACTAAACAACTATAAATTCAGCATTTGCCCAACCCCTTTCATTCCCTGACCTTGGATGCTATCCTCTTATAATAGCAAAGGAACAAATATATTTATGGAGTTGTAAAGTAAACTTGACACCTGAGCTTGAAATATTAAAGATGGCACTGCTGTCTAGATTAAAAAACACAGAAGAAGCTATTATCTGCTAATCATTGATAATGTTTCCACACTGACATTCTAACATTCTGACAATTTCCTGCTCTTGCTATCATTAACAATAAAGAAAGCATGCTTTGCTTGCTAAGTCAGAAACAATTTCAGTGATGAAGCATTTTTATGATTTAAATCTTCAGTGGACAAGAAGCATAACAAAATATTGTTTTCTCTGGAACACATTACAACTGTAAATCAATGCTAAAACGCGAGCTGTTGATTCAAATCTTGCATTATTTTACAATTAAAGTCAAAAATTATGATTTTTAAGTAATATATTTTAGAAATCCTCATCAGGATGATTTAATTATGCTCCAAAGTCTGTTTACCAAAACATACCTTGGAAAGTAGCTTTGTAAGATCTTCAAAAAGATTACAACAGTAGAAATCACAATCAAAATTGATGTACAGTTCTGTGACAAAGCTTGGGATTCGCCATAGTTGGACAAGAGCTTCCAAAGCCATTTCCTTCATTTCATATGGCATTTTGGGGTTTTCTGATGTTATTAATTCCATTAGTTTTTTCAAATACATCTTGGAAAAAAAAATAATGGATCTTTTAATCACAGTTACAATTTGCTAGTTCAAATATACCCCGCATATCAGAGTGGTCTGGATCAACAACACACTAAACATACATCACTACCAACTCTTGTTACACATAAACGTCCATACTGCATATGGATATTTAAAGCATCAGTAAGCTGTGTAAAACATCACAAATTTCACATTTGGATTTGCAATGGTTTCTCTCTTAAAATATTCAAATTCTAAACAAATAAACTAAAAAATCAACTGGAAGGAGAATTCCGTGGAACTCAAAGCCTTCCTGTCTCTATGCTATTCTGATCACTTGCTATGTGAACATGTAAAATCAATTACATTTCTAGGATAATTTGTCAACTACCCAACTATATGAAAACTGCATGTTCATTTATTTTGAAGTAGTCATTAGGTAAATTACTTAAATGTCAAAATATCAGAAAGCTTTCCAGAAGCAAATATATTTCAGATACCAGTATATGCCTTTGTTATTTGGGGACCATAAATTTTTAGCTGTGCACACCCAATTCTAGCCCTCATCTCCCCATCCATAGAACTAGATTTGGACCGTAGAAATGTACAACACAGAAGAAGGCTATTCCGATCAATGTATTTGTGCTGGCTCTTTGAAGCAGCAAACCATTCAGTCCTATTTAACCGTCTTTTCACTATAATCCAGCGAATCACTCCTTTTTAGATATCTATCCAGCTCCCTCTTGAAAATTGATATGGATTCTATTTGATCACCACACTCAGCAGGGCATTCCTCATCCAACCAACTCTATGTAAATAAATATTGTTCCCAATCGCCCCCTTTGCTAATCATCTTAAATGATGCCTTCTTACTCTATGAGTTGCTTTCACTGATCCTGATTGAAACAATATGTGAAACGGGTCTCAATAAATGAATGGACAGATCTCATGTTAAAATCTATGTTCCACCTACCTCAAGTTGGAACTTAAGATGCTCCCTCATACTCTCAAACAAAAGGAAGCACAGCCTGAGAGAAGTAGCATACAAATTAAGACGTTCTATACTCAGCAACTGAAAAAGAAATGACATCGAAGCCTGTTGTTATTTTAAGACGTTTATAATACTGTTCAGTAAATTTAGTAACCTGTAGTAATAGGTTAAGCCCCAAACATCTGATGAAATATCAAAATGGTACCTGAAACAGATGGCGACAAAGTTCATCTTTAACAAGACCAAGCAATGACACATAGTTGGCAATGTGTGCTGATTCCAATGCAATTGTAAGCAGCTGTAAACCCATGTGAATCATGACCTCAGAGTTGTGACGGTCATGTGGATTTGTGAGGGAGATAAGAAAACGGAACAGTTCACGTATACAAGGCAAGCCATATGGAACCAGGGCTGCACCTGAAAGACAAATAGTTTCATGTTAAACCAAGTGAATCATATACACAATAGTGTCATTTCCGGTGTGGTGAGGAACACAATTTTTGATGAGTTTCCTTCAAACTATGGAGGGGAAAGAAAAAAATTTGCGGAGATTCCACTCTTGCATTCTTTTGGTTGCCAGCAAAGTCATCCTGTCTCGACAACTTACTTATAATAGAAAAGGTATATTTATATGTTTATTTATACACTAAGACAGAAACAAAAACAGCATCTGAACAATCAACCATACCAATTGCCAGGTTGCGCCATGCAATATTGATAATATGAATGCTGCAAATTTCTCTTAGCATTCAAATGAATATTAACCTTTACACCAGCAATTTAATGTTCATGTATTCACTATCAGATCATATAACAATACTAATACATACCTTCTTTCTGTATTGATTGTGTAAACCTAACCCCACGAGGGTTAACGTAGTCCATGTCGTGTACTTCATGGATGGATGCAGTATCAGAGGTTTCCGTGAGCGAGTCACGATCTTCTAAAACTTCTGGAATAGACTCTATAGATGTGGATTGAGTCTTCGCTTCCTTAGGCAAATAGCTTTCCATTCTTCCACCCTTCTGCAACAAAGTCAAATTTCGGAATAACTCATCTATGTAGGTGAACATAAACACCATGTCAGGGTACAATAATAGGTCTCCATCTTCCTATACATGTCGACAGCACTACTTGTTGTTGTCTGCTTGAAAAGCGGGATGTTCACCTCTTATGCTAGCGTTCTTTAGCAGTGACAGACTGGTAAGTCTACAATTCCACCTCGTCTTCTCCTTTTAGACTATTTTGTTTTAAAATTAGTGGATTATGGAAAATTCCATCTTCAGTCTTAGCTCAGAAGCCAGTTCGTTTTTGGACTAGCAGAAAGCAAGATACCAAATTAAAACAGAATTATAGAATTTCTATGTGATCTTTAATTTTAAAGCATAACGGTCTTGCAGGTTAGGACTACATGGAATTTCATGCCTCAGGATCTTTGCTGGCAAGTGTTCAAATTACAACAGGCCAAAGGCACAATATTATTGGATCTGTGTTAACATAGGGCAAAATCATTTAATTTATGACCCTTTTCATAATTCTACACAATAATATTATCCATCATCAGTCTGAGCTGAATTCAGGAATAAGTTCCATATTAAATGTATATGATGAAAACTGAATTGGATACATGCTTGTCATCACACTGTTTCTATGCCTACAAAAGATTCACACTTCTGTACCACTGTTTCCAGTCCAGTAACATTGCAAGATGTGAACAAAGGAATATAGGATTACACAGTACCAGAAAAACACTTCATCTGGCTAGCCAGAGCCAAAGTGAAACAAAACTACAAAAACAAAATTTCTATCTCAAATACCCCTTAATTGTTTTCAGTTTATATACACCCCTTAGGAACATGAACACCATTAACATCTCCTCTGACCTTTCTGCTTTTTAGTGTGAAAATTCTTAACTTCCATAGCCTCTTCTCATAATTCAGGTGCCTAATTTCAGCTGTCAATCTAGTTGCCCTTCACTGTACCCTTCCCCCATTTCAAGACCTCCTTAACTGTTATACGGCAGCCAGAATTGTGTGCAATACTTGAGGTAAAATTGAAGAAAACACAATGACAAGTCAAAAGTTTAACAAGAGAAATTAAAAAAGCGGGAAAAACATTTCTACCAACTGCAGCATTTACCAGAGACTCCTGCTGAACAGGTGGATCTTCCATTTTGTCGTTGCCACACTCGCCAGAAGGGGTATTTAATGGAGTGGCACCTGCAGAGCTCAGCTGGTCAAGGTCACTAAGATCTTCCTTTGATGTTGTCTTGGAAGAAAATTCCATGCCACTGTCTGTGGTAGGACTCGAGACAGAGGATAGGGCTTCATTAATAGAAGTTGAAGTAAAAGTTGTAGGCGCCACAGATACAACTGCTTGATCCAGGAAGGGTGCTTCACCTTTAAAAATAAACCAAGAAATATAAATGCTACGTTTAAAGGCTGGATTTATACACTCATTCCCCCATCCACAAACAATATTTGACTACTTGAAATTCATTGAAAAGTCTCATCAATTTAATAACTATGGGAACATTCTACTGTGCTCACTTTATTCAAAGTAAGAAAGAACTTTCATTTTATAGCACCTAATCACATCAAAAAGGTTCAAAGTGTTTTACAATAATTATTGTCAAGTGCAGTGACTGTTTTTTGGTCAAAGGTGGCAAACAACTGAAAAAATGGGTCATTTGACTCACTGCAGTTAGCAAGATGCCACAAATAGGCATAAGGCAAATGACTACCTTTTCAATTTCACTTGTTAAACTTTTATCTGAATTATTTTTACCCAGACCTCCTATCTCTTTTTAAACCGTATCCTGTCCTGGGATTTTTAATGTGCCCTGAAGAAGAGACAAACTTAACTTCTGTTAAACGACTCAATTGAAGAAATGTGCTTCGGCAACAATGCAATTCTCAGGATTGAGTGTCAGAGTAGACTATACTAAAGTCCCATTGGGTTGTTAGTGAAAGTGACTTGCTCTGTCAAAGAGCAGGCACAGACTCGATGGGCCGAATGGCCTCCTTCTGTGCCATAACATTCTATGAATCTATGAATTCCATAACCTTCTAACCCAGATGTCAGAGTACTGCTAAATGAGCCACGTCAATACACAATGTAATTTTGTTTTCATCTTCACTGGGTAAGGAGCTTAACGAATGAATATTTATTAACTCAGGGCACCTTTTTAATGTTTCTCACTTGATCATCTGAAATAGTACCTCAAAGCCAGTTCCAATGATGCATTGTAAGCCATAATTCAGATGAACACACTCTAATATGAACAGAAATGAATAGGGAAAAGTAAGATCTCATCAGGATTATTTCATAATCCAGGATCACACTCCAGTATAATAACAGAAGTGGTGGTAATAATGTTTTTATTAATGGTGCTGCAATGTCAGAGGGGCCAACCTTCAGATGAGGCAAGCCAAGGTGCATTGTGCTGATTCATGTAGTCATTAAAGATCCCATGGCACTATTCAAAAAGGGAATTTCTCCCCGCATTCTAGTAAACAACAACTTGCAATTAGATAGGCCCTTCATGCAAATAGTGTCTTGGGGTACTTAACAGCAGTGTGGCTTGACGCTGAGCTGCAAAGGAAAGGAGGTGACCAAAGGCACAGTCAAAGAGGAAAGTCTTCAGATGTGATTTGAACTTCAAAATTACATTTGTATAGCGCCTTTCATGTCGGGAGGACGTCCCAAAACAGGACAAGACGGAGGGATTGAGGCAGGGAGTTCCAGAGATTCGGGTATAGTGGTTGGAACAATCCTCCCAATAAATTGGTCACTCATTCATGGTTATTGTTATTTGAATAAGTTTCTGGGATCAATAAACAAAGTTAAACCTTACCTGCGTTGCTGTTTAACAGCTGAGGTACAGTGCTTCCAGAACTATATAAAACCTGTCCAGGTAAGGATTGCTGCTCTGACGCTGAGGGAAGTTTAGTGACATGACGAGATGGTCGTGGCGATTTCTTTTGTTTTTTCCACTTAGAGGAGTCGCTCATTCCTCCTGCTCTCATCTTAAGCTGTGAATTGAATAAAAACCTCAACATTATGATTCTGATAAATATAAACAAAGCTTTATTTCCTTGACCACATCTTTGTTTTTGCATCAATTCAACAGGATATTGTTTAAAATATGAAACTGAACCTTAAATATATTGTTCAGCACACAGCTTTGAGTCTTCTTTGAAGTTTGATTCAGAAATAAGAAAGTATTCTGAATTCTAAATTTGTTAACACTTCGGTAAATGCAATAGTCTGTTATATTATAATTAATAATAGAACAAGATACCTGTGAATGGCAGAGACTACATCCAAATCAAAGAGTTCTGATGATGTCATGTATCAGACATACAACACTCATGTGGTAACTACTATTTGAACAAAATCTGATTGTACCTTGAAATAATTGCTTTTATAATATATACATTTTCACTTTTAATGTGGGGGTAATTCCCTTTTTGTACTTACAACGACTATCAGTGTTCACACCGTAAGTCTAAATGTTCACACAAATAAATCACTAAATAAAATACATAAATGCAGAAGTTGTTTTCAGTTCAATGTGTTAATCAATCATTATTTTACAATACACATATTCTTATCAAGGAAGGGGATAAGAGCTGGTATGTGAGATTTAGAAAATTGCATAGGAAGTGATAGGAATCAGGAGAACAAGTTAAAAAATAATCAGGAATGCATTTTGCTTTACATTGAAGTAGATAAACTATCTAAATATGGCTTTGATTCAACCTACAATGAACCTACAGTATTTTATTCCAACTGAAGAAACTAAAGAAATTAGAATGCACAATGGCACAAATGCACAGTGTCAAATCAGCTTTAAATGTAGATTCTATAAAAACTCTTCATACAGAATTTAAGACTTATGTTTTTCCAGGAAGAATCAATTTGTTTGAAGCAGTTTAAAAAAATCAGAGAATGTCAATTTTAAAAAAAACAAGATTACAGTCTTACTACATAACCAAAATGTTTTCATAAACAAATTAATTTTTTCAAGTCAAAGTTACAAGAAAGTTATCTTGAAGCATACTGTATACATAGGAATATCAAGCTATCATTTGAAAATGAATGCTTAATACTAATAACTGAAAGCAACAGTATATTCTCTCACAAGAAAAAANTGACAAAAAATAAAATTCACAGCGATGAAATGATGAATTCCTCCAATTACACATGTGAAACTGATCAACAGCACACAAAATGAAAGAAAGGGAACTAGCAAAGAAATTCTGAATGCTAATAAAAAAAATAGAGAAGGCGTGGGAGGAAGCAGAGGAAAGATATCCCATATGGGTTGAATTATAAGATTGTATCTTCAAACAGTGTACACCTTATAAACACCCTGCATTGGATTTGTTGAACCTGAATAAAACCTGTTTCTTTGGTATATTGAGTACATTAACACAGGAAAAAGTAATTTCTTTTAAATTCACATTTCATATCTTTTTTCAATAAAGAAACAAATGTATTGAGCTTTGTTAATAAAGTAGAGATCCCCTACCCATAATAAGCTAAAATAAATGTTCAGCCATCAGGGAGGGACTGATGCCTTTCCTTGGACTGACACATTTTGCATCAGTATAACATCCTTACCTGTACTCGTTTATTTTTCCACGAGATAGTGTAAGCCTCGGGGGAAAAAATTACAGTTACCAATAATTAGTGAAATAAATTTGCAAAATGAGTTTGTAATTATGGGGTTAAATAAACATTCAGCATATCCAATTTAGGCTGAAATATAGTAACAAATGCAGGGATTAATAATATTAACAGTCGCAGTAAACAATTATATTTTAATGAGGAAATTAGAAAAATCCTCATTATAATGTACAGTTTACAAATTAAAACCTAATCATGCCTTAGCTGTCTTCACTAAAGTCCACCTTCAAGTAAAAGTCCCCACATGGCTTCAAGATGACATCATGCATCACTCAACACATTCCATGCGATCAGCACACAAAATTTAAAGACAGTATAGCGAGGACATAGTTTACCATTCAAGATGAATATCAGCGCCTTGGGACGTCCTCCTGACGTGAAAGGTGCTCTACAAATGTAATTTGTTGTTGTTGTTGTTGTTTGTACCTTATTTAGAATCATCATGTAGCAGAAATTTCTGATGTGACAAAAATGACCAACTGTTGATGTCTGAACAAGAAAATTGACTGCTGGACATTTATACTAATGATGGTGCAAGTATGCAAATCTCAATACTAAACAGCTTTGTTCAACAGATTCCTAATTCAACTATACTCCATTTTGGGGACAGGAATTAGGTTGGCATTTTGACTTTTGCGATGACAGAAGTTCAAGCAGTACTTCAGTTTGCAGTAAAATGCATGCAGTCTTTAACATGCAGTGAAAGGACTATGCAGTTTTCAGCATTCCTACCCACACACTAAGAAACACAAGATCTATTCCTGGTTACTTTTATCTTAGAGAAGGAAAGAGAATATATTCAGTCAAATAAAGCATAATCTGTACAACAGTGTAGTAATTTGTTGCCAGTGATTGATACTGGTGCAAGGGTGTACATTATATATGCCTCCACGAAAAACAGAATTTTTTGTTCCAATACTGTTATTGATGAATTCCTTGATTACATTTGGCGTCATCCATTATTACAATGTCATTGTCTTTACATATCCTTCTTCCCTTAGCACAGATCATGTTAATCCTTTACTCTGTATCTGAATTTAAGGCAAACAGCTCTAAATCATTCTGTGTATTTCCCTGACATGTCGATTCAACTTCTTAAATCTTTGAATTATTCTGAACATACAAGGTTATTATGCCTACTTTTTCAATGTAATCCTTCTGGAACATTCTATACCCCTTCAGTTTTCTTTCGGAGTTCGTCAACTTAATACTTGCACCAGTAGTTAAAATGTCTTTTTTTCAAAAGCAGGTGAGAGAGCACGTAACAGCACTGAAGGCAAAGATCATCATTTGACTGGACTAAAAAAAAAGTAATTGTCTACCATTTAGCAATTTAAAATAACAAATCAAATTTTGCATTTCAAAAGTTTCAAAGAATAAATAATCCTCAATTTCCTGTCAAATGGTGATCTCTGCCATTATACCATTTCAAATGTTTTTATTTAAAATTTGGAATCCTATAAGAAACAATGCAGAACCAATGCCAAGCACAAATAAGTCAAAATGAGATCTTAATGTGAACAAGCAAAGAAAACACTGGAAAACAGGATGGACTAAATTAAGCAAACTGCTGCATTTCAGGCAAATTGCCACTGTAGTCCAGGAATCAAAACAGCAATTGTGTTGTATACCTTCTTCATACTGGTTCCCACAAAGCTCTTGGCTTCTTCTTTGAACTGAGGTAGCCTATGGAATATAATACAAACAAAGAAAGTCACAAAAACTACATCTGAAGCATGTTTTTTAAATAAATATGTTTTCTCTTTTTTAAATGCCGACAGATACAAATGCATTTTATCCTGATGGTCAACTGTAAAATAAAAAGCTGGAGACTAAAAAATTAAACCTAAATACACAAATAAAATGCTACCAAACAAAACTGGTTTCACTCAAGGCTCTAATCTCTTAAAATTCGGAGGAACTTTACAAACTATTGAAGCTGCTCTTGCAGCTCACTCTTTAGCCAAAGATGAGAGACTGAAGCTTTCTAATTCATCCTCAAGGGACAATTGTTAACCACATATAGATGACAATTAAAATGATATACCTACTTCATGATTTTTTTCTAACTAGCAATTATGAATGAGCTCAATCAAATGATATTTGTGATATTTGCCTGGTCAGCCTTTTTTGGATATAATAACTACCCAACAAAATGGAAGTAGCACCCATTGCTTTTTTTAATGCTCGCTCAACGTATTTGATCGTACGCTTGTTCTATTCTTGTAAATGAGATACTCTGAGCCATTTGTCACCTATTCAAAAACAGTGGTATCCAATGATGCAAAGAAAAAGATGGCACAGAAATTGGCCTTTCGGCCCAATTATTCCGCGTCACATGCTACATTTATAGTACAGAATTGTTTAGAAAAGCAAGGAAGAAGGTTTGTGGTTTCATTCTCAGGCTGGTGAATCCTCTCTGTTTACCTTGCAGGACATTTCCAGCAACCAGAACAACAAAATGGTCAAAACTCATGCCCATCACAAACTTACCAGCCTGTCACAAGTCTCCAATTCTGCTCTTGTTATTACAGTGACCAAAGCTTTTTTTAAAAAAAGAAAAGGATTTGCTGGTATTACAGTTCTTCTATGAAGCCAATGAAAAGCCCAGAATCTCAAGATTAACATGATTTTATCACACCATACAAATCTGCTCACCTGCAGCATTCTAAGGGTTAAGCTGTTTTTCCTAGTTTACATTTATTGTAGCAAACAGGAGCCAGGTCATGTGTTAATTCCATTTCCACTTATTGCCATAAATAACCATTAGGTTGTTCAGTGGGGTCGAAGGTAGCAATGTATTATGAACCATTTATTAAATGTTACCTGTAAGTCAGCTGTCAGACTTTCACAACACGCCATACATAAACTAATAGCTGAGTTATAATGATTTTCAGAACAGGTGACAATTTGAAATATAAAGATGTTCAAATATAAAATTTGTGCAAATGTTTAATAAATTAATTTCAATAATTCAAGAGTCAGCTTTATTTGTCTTGAAGCACATCTAACTAACTGCACTCCCACTATCTATTATTGCTTAATATAGAACATCAGTGCAAGTTTTGCCATGGGTGTTCAATTACAAAAGCTGGACTTTAGAACGTATATGCAGAAGAGGAAGAGAGGTCCTTCTTTGAAGTTTTCATTACTCATTCCATGTAGAGAAACAGTTAACGGATTTATGAATATTGCCTGCAATTTAATCAGGCATTACAAGGGCAACACAGTGGATTATTCACACGTGAACCAACGTCCTGCACCAGAATGACAAGATGTGGCTTATCCTCACTTTGCTGAACAGTTTACCCATCTTTTGGGGAAGACTGCGTGTAAACAATCAAGCAGAGATATCAGACACCTCACCATGAAAAACGTGGAACACCAAAATCTGAATCATCTTTGCAAGTCACTGGTTAAGCCTCAGCTGTAGTATTGTGTCCAATTCTGGGCAATACATTTTAGGAAGGATATCAAGCCCTTGGAGAGGATGCAATTCACCAGAATTGTACCAGATTGAGGGACTTTAGTTATGTGGAGAGACTAGCGAAGCTGGGATTGTTCTCCTTAGAGAAGAGAGGGTTAAGGGGAGATTTAATAGAGATGTTCAAAATTATGAGTGGTTTTGATAGAATAGATAGGGAGAAACTGTTTCCACTGGCAGGTGGGTCATTAACCAGGGGACATAGATTTAAGATAACTGGCTAAAAAAGAGGGGAGATGAGAATTTTTTTTTACACAAAGTTTTTACAGTCTGTAATACATTGCCTGAAAGCCGTGTGGAAACAGATCAATAACAACTTTCAAAAGGGAATTGGATAGGTACTTGAAAGGAAATATTTGCAATATGGGCAAAAAGTGGGGGAGTGGAACTGATTGGGTAGCGCTTCCAAAGAGCTGTCACAGGTACGTTGGGTCGAATGGCCTCCTTTTGTGCTGTAATATTCTGATTCTATCTTTTACCCCACCACAACCTCATAGCAACAAATAACCAGCTCAAAAACTGCATGCCTTCAGCTTGCTTGTACTCAGATATAATGGACCATCTCCCACCCTCGCCGATCCCCCAGGTACAACAGACATCTCTGTGCCTCAAATCCAATGTCTGTAGGCTTAAATGCATAAGGTGTACAATCTGCTTTGTCATTCACTGCCAGATATGGTTTGGCATAATTTCTCCTCAGCTCCATGAATCTTCACTTCCGATTCAAATTTGAGAAGTTCATGGACATCTTTATGATCAAAATTGAAACCAACTGCTACCTCAGTCTACTCCACCAATCCTCATTTCTTCAAGCACTTACTCTCTCCACAACCACAGCTCCTGCCCTCTGCCATTCCTCTTCCAGCTCTCATCAAACTAATCTCATATGAAGATTACCATCTGTTCCTTTCACCCTCTACTAATCCACCTTCTGATTACTCAACAACCCCTTCTTGGGCTCATGCAAGCCAATGTGGTCAACCTCTGACTATCCTCAGGAAATGTCCCTCTTCATTCCAAAATTCTGTCATCATCCCCATTGTCCCTCAAGATAAACCAGGTTCTGTACAGGCTTGATATTTTGTTTGACCCTAAACTAAATTTAAAACCTCACAAACCTAATTTCCACCTTTGGGATATTGCTCATTCACACTATCTCACTGGTATTGAAACACTGGTGGCATCAATGTTTTTGTCCCCTCCCAGATACCCTTTTCCAGAAACACTAACTGATACACAATTCCTAACATCCATTACCCCATCTTCCTTAAGCTCAAGTGGCAAGCAGCAACTCAGATGATCAAATTTAACATCCTTGGGCTTGTCTTCAAATCCTTCCATCTCACCCCTGCCCGATTACTATCTTCTGGAGCCCTACATTCCAACCATACCCTCCGATTTCCATCTCTAGCCTATTGCTCAGTCCATTCACTTTGCTTCACCATTTGTGACTGAGTGTTGAGTAAGCACACCACAACCTCAAGAACTCTCTTCCAAAACAAATTTGCTTTGTTAACCCTCTCCCCATCTTCAAATACCTTCTAAACTCATGCCCAATGGCTTTAAATAGGTTATTTCCCTGCTCTGTGTCCATACCTACATTAATCAAATGTTTTAAGATGTTCTTTTATGTGAAATGTGCTATATGATTACAGCATATAGTTGTACTATTCAAATACACAGCGTGATAATAGTGAAGTTCTAGCAGGTCCTCTGTTTGTGTTGTTGACTTGGAAAGGTTGTGTACCGTAAGAAAATTCAATAACATATAAATAAAATCTTGCAAAATGAGGGAAATTATTTTAAACGGAGTCAAAAATAAGATAGGTAAATTAAAAATGATTTGAAATTATTTACATTCCATGAAAGGGACCAATTTAGCTCTAATGTACCAAAGAGTTTTTTGATAATAGAAACAACAATCTAATTTAAATGTCATTGTTTAATATAGTTAACCAGCTATAATTTGCATTTTATGAAACCAATTTGCTACTGTAGTACGTAATCCAATAAGAACTCAATCATAACTAGATTTAATTTTACAGGCAATACAGCAAGATTACATTTTATTCTAGGTCAATCTTGCCCTCGTACGAATGTTCTGTACTACAGTTATTAAGTAACGTTTGTTAATTGTATTAGTGACACTCAATAGAAAAACTCAATGCCACACAGATCAACCAAGGGTGGGTGGTCAAAAACCAAAGGCATTTAGTGTTGTGTTCAACATGTTCCTCCATGAACTGATATTTAGGATAAACAAATCTGATGTTCTGAAGTACGTTTTACCACTTGTGCAATGATTGGATTAATTCTACAACAACTGTTCCATCAATAAACTCCCGTTATCACTAATCTGCATGGAACAGTACTGACAAGAACCACGCGAATAACAATTGAACAGACATATAGTGATCGGAACAACCCACCAAAGAGAGACATCAGCAAAGAAAAATCACTTAGTATTCATCAAGTTCTACAAATGTCATTAACCACATATTCTCTATGTACTAAATTCAACCAGAGTTACAACCATAAAAGAGATTAAACCAAATGACCTTGTGATTCACATTACTGTGACCTGAATGGTGCTCAGTTCCTATTTTTGTCTGATCATAGAGGAAAAAGCATATTACTTGAAAGTCACAGGATAACTCAATACACATCAATGTCATTAATTTCCTATTGGCTACCTCAAGAGTGATACAGGCAGATACTTGGAGCGAGCAAGTTATCTGCTTGCCTTCTCAGTTGAAAAATCACATTGGAGCTTGGGAAGTGGGAAGAGAAAGAAATGGAAAGAAGAAATTTAAAGATGGCAAAAAAATCCAAGTGGGGAAAGATAAAAGATGAAAAAAGCATAATAAAATTCTGCAATTTGAAGAGAACAAATATAAAATACCTGACACATCAAACACAATCCCTCACAATGAAAAGAACAAAAAAAATTACACTAAATCTTTGAATCTTTGGAACATTTTTGCCACAGCAGGGTACACAGGACAAACCTGGAATCAAACTATTAAAGAACAAATGTGTAAAATAATACTGATGGAACAAATGATACACAAAGAAAAAGTTACAAATTTAAAACGGATAAAAATAACTTACATTTGCATTACTCAAAAGCAAAATAGCAATACCCAGGATTAGATGAAACAAGTCCACCTTTTGTTTTAATACCGTAGCAATGCTGAAGAATATAGCAGCCATTGCTAAGCCCCAAGGGAGCATTGTGACAGGTTAATCTCAGTATTCTACCTTGAGAACAGCAGCTGCACCATGTCTACCAGTGTGTGCTCAGCAGATTTCCTCAATAACTCTGCAGAGGGAAAAAACAAATAACACAGGTGTCATTATGCATTGTGATATTATCAAGTGGCTCCAACAAGTGGACCTCCCTCCTAGTTTTGTTTACCAAGGATTAAGTAGAACTTATTAAACCATTTTAAATTAAAGTGCATTTGTCTGACACAAACAGAAGATGGCACTAGAGCACTATCAACTAGAAAACAGAGGTCTCTTTGTTCATCCCTTTGGAAAGCTGAATGCCCTTATGTTGTTTTTTTTGTCACATAACCTCTGCAAACATTAAATGTAAATGCCCAACACTATAATGTGCTAAAAGTATTGACTATATGACATTTCTTGCCTCAGTTTACTCAATATAATTCTATCTAATAATAAGCCCATTTTATCTATTATTAAATGATGAAATTTCAGCTCTAAGAAGAGCTAAATCATGAATGCAGTCTCCAACCACTATTTGGAGAGAAGTTAGGTCACTATGATTGTGTGATCCTCATAAAATGCAGCCAGACGTTTCACGTTACAGAAGTATCAATACAGTGTCTGTATAAAGTGCATCAACATCTTCACAAATTACTTATATGCAGCTTAATAAGTATTTTTAATGAGCATTGCCTTTGTAACCTATTTATTGGTGGTCGTAGCTTCCCCACTCACCTAGAATCCCAACTATCTTCCTTTTCTATTAATTACAAGAGTAACAATATAAAGAGTACATTACACAAGTTATCTCATGAAATGACATCCTCAAGATATACATCCCCTATTAAATGAATGCCAGTGTTGCAGTGTCTCGCAAAGTGTGGAGAATGTAAAATAAGGAAGGAAACAAAATTGCTGATTTGACTGGTTAAAATAAATCCTCGTTAATCCTAGGAGCACTGGATGAGGTCTCTCATCCAGGCACCACCAGTACTCGTGGTCGACACGTTTATCAACTTGTGGCCTCACTTTAAGTGTGAGAATGATTTCAACAACAACTTAGATTTATATAGCGCCCTCCAAGCCGGAAGGCGTCCCAGAGTGCTTCACAGTAACGGATCCCGGGGCCGAGCCAGGGGGAGAGGAGGAAGGTGACCAAAGGCACGGTCGAAAAGAAAGGTCTTCAGCAGAGACCTGAAAATAGGAAGGGAGTGAGCGAAACGAAGGGAGTGAGAAAGGGGGTTCCAGAGCCTCGAGGCATAGTGGCTGAAGGTGGAGCGGAGGACTCGGGGGACAAGGAGGCCAGACCCGGAGGAACAAAGGCAACGGGCACTTTTTTTGAAGAGAGAGGTCAAAGAGGTAGGGGGGTTCAGAGGAGTGGAGGGATTTGAATACAAGGTTGAAGATCTTGAAGTCAATACTCTCTGGGACAGGCAGCCAGTGCAGTCTGGCAAGGACTGGGATAATCAGCGAGCGGAGTTTGGTGCGGGTGAGAATGTGGGCGGCAGAGTTTTGAATAATCTGGATTTTATGGATGGTAGTGGATGGGAGGCCGGCGAGGTGGGCGTTAGAATAGTCCAGCCGAGAGGTGACATAGGCATGAACCAGGGATTCAGAGGCTTTCGGAAAGAGATATTGGCGAAGACGGGCAATGCGTCGGAGGTGGAAGAAAGCGATGCTGGTGAGGGACCAGATGTGGTGGAGGAAGGATAATTGGGGGTCGAACCTAACTGAATTTCAGGTCATAATTATGGCCATATATATAATGCAGTTACCCCACCTCCTATTGGCTGTAAAACTGGCTGGGAAAGATAGATTTCAGCCAACTGAACACTTTTTTTTAAAAGTTACTTTCATCTTCCAAATTGGACAGTCTGAGCTGGAAGAAAACAGATAGAAGCAAGATAGAAAATAGTTTTGAAAAGGAAAAAAAATTGGAGGAAAAAAAACAATGACAGAGCACATGCAAAAATGTCAAAATTGTTTTTTAAAAAATCCTGCATTCATTTTGGCGGGACAGAATTAACACTTTATTAAAGATAACCAGCTTTTTACTACTGTGATAAAGATGTGACCAGCTTTATTATTGTAATATTAGTATTTTTTCAGGATTATAGTAACAGAGCTGAAAATGTTTCTACACAGACAGAATTCTACAGGCCATCCTCAATATTCATTGACTTCCTCAAATTGGGCACTTCATAAATCACTTCCCTGAATCTAGAAGTATCCTGTGGGTTTATTGGTTTTCAACTCCTTAAGTCAATCTCGAACCTCTGCCTCACTAATGTTCATCTTGAAATGTGCAGTAACATTATAATTGAATCATCCATGGGCCACTGGATCCCCATGAGATTCCAGCGATCATTTGTTGCTGTTCATAGAATTGATTTTGCAACCACTTCTTCAATCATATTACAAGATAACACTTGATATCAGAATCCTGTATTTGTGCTGAGCATGTTACACAAATTCCAAAAGCACACAAAATAATTTTAATAGCTTGTTCCAGGCTCTACCAGATCATCCAGAGCAAAAATACACCCAGTGAGCATGAATTTTTACTCTTGAGGATCAGTTATTGTGCTGAGACACCATAAACTATATTTTGTTGCAACCCATGAAGAAAAGCTAGCTCTACAATTCACCATCACCAGCAAAACACTGTATGTATATGTTAATATGTGAGTGTGACTAGTATCACTTTCAACCTTTGACCAGTGTATCTTTGAGTATGTGGCATGCAGTGAATTTGCAGCTTATTTAGCCCTTGTAAACGACCAAGAGGACAGAATACAAATAAACAAAAACAAACAAACGGTGTTGGAGAAGCAAAGACATCATCAAAGTAATAAAACAATTAAAAACTTACCACTAAGTCTCATTTCAAAACATATTCGAAAACATGACTGCATTATTTCACAAACTGATTCATTTGTTAGATGAGCACCAACAGGAGTAAGGAGTAATGTTCTCAAAACCTGTAAGACATAACCAAACATTCCATAACATGCAATACTATGTGCTTTTGTTTACTCAATGCACATTCAACTTTTTCTCCTACAAAAAGTCATTTATGGGCATAAACCAAAAGTACTCTGAACTCATAAACAATAAGTTATTTTCCTCATAACATTATTGATAGATATTATTTCAATTATATTTCCCTCAGACTGGATAATGAAGTTATAATATTTTTTCATAACAGATTTGTTTATTTTTTTAAAAATCAGTTTGAAAATGAGGACATCAAGCTTCATTAAATACATCATCAAAAAATTATGTTTTCATAGAACTCTCCAGAAATGCTCCAATTCTATTGTATAATTAAATGCCATATTTTAACATATTAAATGCCACATTTTGTCAATTAAGTTTAAATATGGTAGGTTATTAACTTTTTTCATTGAAGATGTAAGTTTCTAGATATCACATTTGAGAATTACATTCCAGAATGTGGTAGCACATTTATGAGTAAAAAGCAGGGGTTTTGATTATTAAATTCACACTAAGTGCATATATAAAGTACATATTGTAACATTTTTCATTCTAAAATAGGAAAACATTAATATTGCTACAGTTATGGCCATATTGTACTTGTACTATGTGTATGAGTATTACAAGATACTCCTGTGTTCAATTAGCATTACAACAACAACTTGCACTTATATAGCACCCTCCTCGCAGAGTAGTGTCTCAGAGCACTCAACAGTGGAGGAGCCTGACTCCAAGCCGGGGGGAGAGGGAGGTGGCCGTAAGCACGGTCGAACAGGAAAGTCTTCAGACGGGACTTGAAAGAGGGGAGAGGGGGCAAAGCGGAGAGATTGAGGGAGAGTGTCCCAGAATTTGGGGGCGTAGTGGCTGGAAAGCACGACCTCCATTAGGTATTCATTTCCAATGACATGGGTATCAGTGCATCTAGTGTGTTTAAAAAACAATTTTGGAACTCTGGAACAATTTGGCTCTGGAACAACTTTGGCTCTGGAACTCCCTTCCTCACTCCCTTCGCCTCGCCCCCACTCTTCCTATTTTCAGGTCTCGGCTAAAGACCTTTCTTTTTGACCGCGCCTTTCGTCACGTTCTTCCCCCTCCCCCTGGCTCGGCCTCGGGATCCGTTATTGTGAAGCGCTCTGAGACACCGTCCAGCGTGGAGGGCGCTATATAAATCCAAGTTGTTGTTGTTGTTGAACTTCCAGGTGGCTCCAGTTCGTAAAGCCTCCATCTCATGTGAAACAGACCAGAATGGACCCAAGTTGAATACTCAGTCTGTGCCCAGTTCTGATCAGACAAAGCAGCAGTGAACAATGATAAAACTATCAACGACTGCGAGAAAACTAACCATGGTACCTGTAATGATTGAATTCCAGAAACCCGTCCTGGAAGGTGGAGGAGTGTGGACAACGGACGCCCAAAATTCTGCCTAAACTTAGCCTGCAAGACCATTCTCCATAACTGAAAAATTCTACTCTGTTCTATAAGTTCTTTTTCTGTACTGCTTCTGATCTCCATAATCCATTTTCCAACAGATATGAAACCTCAACCCTGAACTATGCTACTCTTGAATTGACCATAGGAGTCGGCCTTTACTCATCCATCTTGTATCAACAACAAAAACTTTCATTTATAAACACCTTTTACGAGGGGTCGCATCAAGTTACTCAATCCAAACCAAATTAGATATGAGTCAATCAAAGCCACTGTATGATGAAAATGGACATTCAGATGTATGATTTTGATAGAATTTTGAAAAAGGAATCTAATGACTTGAGTGGTCACTGCTGAAAAACGGTATGGCTGTCAAGTGAAAACAGGAACTGACTTTTCTAACAATTCCCTCAGGTGGGAGCAGCTAACAATAACTGTCTTGGTTCATACGTAAAGATTTGACTCTTGGCAGAGGAATTAAGACTGGTGCCAGTGGCTATAGACCTGTATCCCAAGGATGAGTCATCAACCTCAAGACAGGGAGAAAATGACCAAAAGACAGTCAATACAAAACAGGCAATTAATCGGAACAATGTAGAGTGCTACATAATCCCCTTGTTCACAACAGACACAAAGGAGAAACCCTGAAGTCAAAACATGGTTTTCCCATGTGGGTTTGAATGAAACAGAATACATCATTATTCTAATTGCTAACCAAGTAACCAGTCTTGATTTTAGCTTTGCGAACTAATTGATCCAGCCTTTTTCTGACTGTTCTTGCCAACAGAATGCAGTACCTGTAAAATTTTCATCAGGACAACTTCGTCACTTGCTGGATCTGTTCCTACAAAACGAGCATGTGTGACAGCATCTGCCATGTTTTCAATTCCTTCTGCTGCCCCATCGTGACTCAGATCTGTAAAAAAGTTTATAATTGTATTAACCCTGACTCCTTTTTTCCAGTTTCCATTTGCTCTGCTTCTAGGTGACAGTGTCATGGATTAAAAATAGCCAGTAAACAAATGCCTTACCAATATTTTCCATACAATTGACTGATTATACAATGGTCTGAATTTCACTGATGATCAACAATGAACTGAAGAGATCCTCCAATGGCCAAATGAATATAGGAATCCCCTTGTGAGCATTCAGCCTTCACCTCCAGTCTGGTGTTGAATCAGCTGATTTCAGTTTAGCTGATCTCAACTAAGATAGCATTAAGGTGGGTGGAAAAGTCCCCCTCCTGATTGCTATCGAGAGAGCCTGTGGATTTCAGTTAAAAATAGCAATGTCCTTTTTATTAGATTTATTTATTAGGTTGGTTAGAATTATCACCCAACAGGTTTATTTCAAGTTTATTTTTAAAGTTATATTTCCCTCACAATTCCTCTCTTCTAGTTACTTGGACCACAAAGATAGAGCATGGGAGGTGGCCTCCTAGTTCATTAAGAGATGGGACTGAGTGATGATGCTCACATCAATTTTCTTCAGTTTGGTGTCTCCATATGGCAACAAAATGAAGATATAACAGATAGGCAAATGTAATACTTTTCTGCATGCCAAACCCACCATTTCCCCAATCGCAGCAAAATGTTTTCCTATACACAAATTTTCAATAAAATTAAGGTGTTTTTTTAAAAACTTTTCATATTTGAAGACAACAGTTTCACATTTTACTATAAAATATCTATTGCAGCTTTTTTATTACTGTATAGTAAAATCTACATTCTTTCAGATTATAATCAGTGTATTAAGGTATAAAGCGATAAATTACAGAGATAATTTGAATATTGCCAATCAGTATAGGAATAACAATTATACATCTCTCAGATGCTACATCCCGAACCTACATGACAGCATATCAACAAGCCACCTGAACACATCTGCTGATATAAATGAGAGTCGTATGAGCAGCACCTGTAACTGGAAAAGCAAAGAAGGGTGTGGGTTCTCTTCCAACAAGTTCATTCCACAAACACTCCTAGGCTCTCTCTCCCCCAGTTACATCACCACAAGCATAAATACAAGAAATATGTCATATGATTTGTGTTGGTGTCAGCTTGTCTCAGTTGGCAGCACTCTTGCCCCTGGGTCAGGAAGCTGCGAGTTCAAGTCCTGCATGAGGTGCTTTGAGCTTATAGTCTAGGCTGACACACAGTGCAATGTTGGGGGAGCATTACATTGTTGGAGTACCATCCTTCAGCTGACACATAAAATAATCATGACATCATTCAAAAAGAGAAGTTTCTCCCAGTATCCTGGCTATCACCCTCTAAAGAAAAAAGTGTGACATAGCTGTACACAAAACTGGTTGCAGCGTTCCCCTAAAATGCAGTCACAACACTTGACAGAAAACTCTGAAGAATTTGAGACGATGACATTATAATCCACAATATTAAATGCAAGGATATCAAATGCAAATGGAAGAATTATTATACAGATGACCAGAAAAGCACAAGCTCCCCAGATATAAACACCCCTTCTCCTTCCACACCAATACCCACAAAATTTCAAAATCCAACTTCCATCTTCAAATTGATCCTACCCCCTCCAACCCAACAACAAACAATCCTGACCTTCCCAACACTCAAAAATAATACAGTACCGCTGAAATATACAGAATCATTTATGAACTACATCACATCCACCAAATATTTTATATATGATAGATATATGTAATGTCATGTGCATTAACTTATAATGTTCCACAATTCAATAAAACAGGTAAAGTTAATAAAACATTTAAAAATTAACAATTTATAAAAGTGAAAAAAGATACTATCAAAGTTAATTTTACAAAGAGTACCAAAGCTTTAGAAGGTTTAAAACTATGGACATGTGGACACATTTGATCTCTGGGAGTAATCCCTTTTTCATTTGTCTGGAATTATACAAAAGCCAAGACCCAATGAATTGAAAGAAACGTAATCACTAAAACCTGCTTTACAGGTGTTCTTCCAGAAACATACTAGTCTCCCTTGCACCAGCACAGTATCCATTTTCACTGCCCTGGCCATAAACTATAATTAACTGCTCACGCTATCTTGCAGTCACTCAAAAAACAGTTGACATCTGTGAGGTCCAGGAGCTTGCTAATTCAGAAAATTGAAGTGAAAAAGAAAAACTGAATGCTGGAAAATTTGAGGTAAAATGCTGGAAGTGCACAGCAATCTCGAAGAACAAGGCTAACTTTTCAAGTTTCATTCTGTTTGATTTAACCGAATTTGGCAAGATCAGACTGAAAAGGTACAGCTGACAAGCCTAGGCAAGCAAAGAAGGTAGAAGAGGACAAGATACGCAGGAATGTAACAATCTCAGGACAAAGAGGGAGTCGATGAATCAAACTACCAATAACATTAAAAAAAAGACCCTGCTGTATTTAAACCCCAAAGAGCCTGGTCTAATACTGCTTCTACCTTTAGAGCTACGTTAAACAATATTCTTTTAATAGCTTGCTCTGCTTGTGCTGCTCAAAAATATTGTAGCACAATGAAGTCAATGCAAGATGTTTTTTTAAATTGAAAGGGACTAAAATTTGAAGCTGGGGACGCATAATCGCCTGCCCAGCTGTTCTAGCCCTTGACATCCAAGCCATCCACAGCTGATTACTGGAGGAACTGATTATTCGGCCAACAGTATTCGCGCAAGCAACAGTGTGTTCTTATCAAAGCAGAAAAATGATAACAGCCATGTCAAAATGGCATTGATCACTTATACACAAATTTGCCACACTATTTTAAGAGGCTAAATTAATCTGAGGACAGAGCTTTTTGTCGGTGTTCAATCCCCTTTTCAGAAATGTTTGTAAGGTTCCCTTATTCTCTGAAACTGGAATGTTATTGGTGAGTTAAAAGTTGTGTGAATGAACAGTAATGGTTGGAAGCAACACGAGGGGCACAACCTACCTGTTTTGAATGCCAGAATTAGTAGTTGAAGAAATGAAAACTAAAGATAAAACCTGCATATTTTAACAGTGATATCATGTCAAAACATCTGAAGGCAATTTGGGAATTGCTATCATATCTATGATAATCAAGGTAAGAATCGATGGGCCAAAAAACGGTTGGGAGAATTAGTTACTGACCACTAGGCTCAAATTGTGTAAATCTTGCAAATGTTCCCAGCAACACTATTTAAGGAGGTAGAAGGAGGAATCTTTCAAGGTCAAGTTAAACTGAGGTCTTGTGTGCCTGTTCAGATGAAAGTTAAAGAGAAGGGAGTTTCTCCCAGTATCCTGGCTAACGATCCACTAGAGAATAAAAAGGGTCATTCGCTTCATGCTTGCTTATGGGAAATTGTTATGCGCAAAGTGGCAGCCAGGTTTCCTACTAACACACCATCATTACACTTTACAATAAAATCCCCTCTTGAAGACATGATAAACCACTATATTAAATGCAAGGAATATTATTATAATAATAATAATCCTTGCATTTGATATAGCGCTTTTCACGTCGGGAGACGTCCCAAAGCACTTCACAGAACACACTGTAAAGTGAATTGACTGTATATTTCTGGGCGAACGCGGCAGCCAATTGCGCACAGCAATGTCCCACAAACAGTCGTAGATTGAAAATGACCAATTTATTACTGTTTTTGGTTTTTGGAGGGATTATTATTAGGTGTGTGGAGTAAGGAAACTTGCCCAAGGTTTCGCCCTGCCTGGAATTGAACTCAGATCTCTCGCTTGCAAAGCGAGTGCTCTAACCACTGAGCTACAGGACTCCACAAACTCCACATTATGATTTTATACAACAGTCCAGACATTTTGGCATCAAAAAGAAGTTGTGCTCTGAAATTATATAAGCCAATACTGCCATTTATGCACCCAACAGATGAAGCCATTTCCAGAAAGGGACATCGCAATATTGGCTCCAAAGCCCATTCAAATTAACGGAGATTCTTCCAAAAGTTTGGAATCTCGAATAGCGTCGAAAGTAAGCAGAGATCGAAAATAGCAAGTCTTCATGAAGTAAAAAATCAGAATAAATAAGAAAGCTGGAAGTGTTCTTCCCAGGGTTTCCTTCTTCTTCAAAGTCTTAAATCCCAGAATTATCGTTCCAACCCCTGGCAAACCCTCTTCCATGCACCAATGTTCCATTAAAGCTAGAATGTCAAATGTTGATGCAATACTTAAATATGGTCTTCTAAATGAGTTATATAGTGTTAACATACCTTTGACTCTTAGATACCTCCCTCTATTTGATTAACTTAATTGAAAGCCTCACATTTTCAAGACACTTTTTCCTTTCACTTGGAGATAGGATTTCTTTACAGCATCTCATAATTAGGAATTTAAAAACTTTCCATTATTTTCTTCAGTTTTATTATTTTCAGTTTTTTCTCTTAACTATCTTTTCAACCCCAAAACATATTTTTGAAAAACATTCTACACTTCTCAACTTCACCACTTATCCATCTTCGATTTAATTTTTTATGCTCATGATTTTTCCCCACACTGCTAATACCATTAATACCAATAGTTTTCTTTGCTATATTAAAAAAAGCACTTCAATTTGTCATTTAATATCTTTTTACCCCATTTGAACCCATTACATTTCCATTAATCTAGGAATATTATTTTCATTCACTGTCTTGGTCAGCAATAACCATTTGCTCATCCAGTTTGAAGGCTCAGCAGTCCCCTCCTCCCAACAACCAAATCTGGCCCAAATGATTTTCAATTTGTGGTGTTAATGTGAACAGCTGCATAAGAATACCTCAAGGTGACAAGTCATGAAACTATATCTTCCGATTCAGACATTGATAAAAACGATGAAAAGATATACTTTCAACAATGTCAGCAAAATACAGATTTTATTTCAATGCCAAACCAAACTAAGTGTGCAAATCTAATTGCAACAGAATTTATTTGTTGATCTTTAAATTACATAAATACATTTTACATTTTAGATTCATTAAAAAGACACGAGTTGAAGTAAAATTTAAGAAAAACTATATTTGAGATAACCACGACTTCATAACACAGCATTCCTCAAAGGGGATTACAGAAATATAGTGTACACTATTCTTCAACAAACGAGCCCCATGTGGCTTAATCTAAAGGAGATATTCAGTCATATTATGCTGAAACAATATCACAAGTCATATAGCAACCATTTGAACTAAAACCAGACGGATGTTTTAGCTGAAGCGCAATTCTTTGATATTGGTTTTATTTTTAGAACTCTATAGCATCACAATGCTTAAGAATTAATGTAAAGTTTAAGAGGCTTGCCCAGCAGTTACACATCTGATCATCTACAGTACTATTTCAGAGAAGCTTTGAACTGGAATGAAGAACTCAATGGAAATTATACTTATTTTTAATAAAATGCCAAAATTCCTCTAACAACAGCCCATGGCCACAGAGCTGGCAACCTGATAATCAAGATCAGTGTTAGGGCCTGATGTGCTGCCAACTTAATACATTATAGGTTATATACAATTTACTATTTATTTCCAGATTATCGTCCCATCCTTGCATTATATTATTAATTTTAGATCCAGTCTACCTTGAGATTCAGATGGACATAATCCCTTTCAACCCAAATTTACCCCATATCTAAATTAATTGGGTGCTCGACTCATTGTTGCTTGTGGGACTGAAGCAGATGAATTCACCTAATTTCTTAGCATTATATTCTGTGAGGCTCATTGAGATGCTTATAATTATCGCGCAAGTTGTTGCTTTGATGAAAAGAAAACTGTTTTTTGCTTTGTGTAACATTTTTAGCCAGCTTAAGTCAGTGAGTGGCAAGATGGCAAATGGAATGGAAAGAACGCAAAGTGAAGAAGTGCCATTAGATGCAGGAATTGCAGATGGAGTACATTCTAAATGAATAAGGACTCGGGATAATAAAAGGATTCTGGGAGAAGAATATAAGTCATTAAAAGCTCGTCTGCAATTTCAGAAAATGATCAAATAGGTGAATGGAACCTTTATTGTGCTGATTCAGTTATAATGTGTATACCCCAATCACACTGCACAACCAGCCCATTCACTTCCTACACACGCCAGGAAGACCTGATGACTTGGAAGTCAACCTTTTTTTTCAATAAAGCATGCAGGAAATTACTACAACCGCTTGCTTGCACTGTGAAACCAGTCATGCAAAATTATTTTATGGACCCAGCCACCACACTATAACTAGGCTCCATTCAGAACAACAAGATAGTTATTTGGAAAGTTGGGTATTATGCAATGTGGAAAAAGGGAGAAATTGAGATTATACCTCCCACAATATATAAAATGCTGGCAGGGTTCTAATATTAACAGAGGTTTTTTTACCTATCAATCCATAGGACAGGAACTTGTTAACTGATGTTAATGCCAATCCTGTGATAGGTCCAGTTGTATCTTCTGACCTAATCACCTCCAGGAAAGGTCGAAGGAAAACATTTGGTTCTATTTCTGAGAGCTCTGTAAGAAAAATGGAAAATAGGTTTGTGATATATTGTACATAATCAAACCAAAATCTAAATTTAAATTCAACAGAATAACAAACAAATGCTAAAAATAATATGCTAGTTCTATAATTCTTTTGGATGATCCAAAAGAAACGAACGTAATTGGCACCAAACCATTTACCATTTTCCTACTGTATGTGGGCTAGATTTTTTAATGCATCACAACAAACCTTTATACAGTGGAGGCTGCTTAATTCAGACATGTTGGGGCAGGGCATTTGCTCTGAATTAACTGCCATTCAAAATTATCCAAAGTCAATACAATAAATCCTCATCCTCAGGTGATCCTCATCCTCACCTACAAGGCCATTCACGGCCTTGCTCCCTCCTACCTCTCCAACCTACTATCCCCCTACCTACCTGCCCGTACCCTCCGTTCCTCTGGCTCTGGTCTGCTCCACGTCCCCCGCCCCAACCGCCCTACCATCGGTGGTCGGGCCTTCAGCCTCTCAGCCCCCAGGCTCTGGAACTCCATCCCCCAGTGCCTTCGCCTTGCTTCCTCCCTTTCCTCCTTCAAGGCCGGTCTCAAAACCTTTCTCTTTGACCGTGCCTTCAGCTCCCCTCTTGACTCTCTTCCCCCTCCTCGCTCCCTCCCTTCCCTCCGCTCACCCTGACCATTTCCCCCCTCCTTGCTCCCTCCCTTCCCTCCCCTCACCCTGACCATTTCCCCCCTGCTCGGGTCATGACCCAACTGTGCAGCGCCTTGGGACGTCCTCCTGACGTGAAAGGCGCTTTATAAATGGAATGTTGTTGTTGTTGTTGTAAATAGCATCCAATTGTCTCCATTGCACGACCTATCACAGCATCAATTAATCAGAAGAATGCTCAGTGATCAATTATATGCAAAAAAGCTGATTGTCTCTTTATAAATTTAAGTATCATAGAATCATAGAATTATGCAGCACAGAAGGAGACCATTTAGCCCATCGTCTCTGCGCTGGCTCTTTGAAAAGAGCTATCCAAATCAATCCCACTCACCCAAGTGAGTTATAAGTTATCAAAAAGCTCCACGCAGCAGTAACCACCAGTGCAGCATTTTATCCAACGTAACCAGATTTATGTCCAAATAAACCAGAATATTTTAAATCGGCTTAGAAGAGATCCAAATTGGGACTTGGAATTTTGTCCAACATAAACGGCGTCCAACGTTAACTGGCATCCGAATTACATGGCCTCCAGTGTATTGTAATATTGTCAACAAGGTAAAGTAACATGGAAAAATGGTAAGAGGCAAATTTCTATTTGTAATCTTCCAAAAATAAGTCTTGATTTCAGACATAATGGAATGGCAAGATGCTGAGCAAAAACCTCCCATTTCCCCACTGTGAAACAATACAAACAAAACTAAGGTTGCATACGCAAAGAAGCAATAATAAGTCACAAGACTTTCAAAAGTGGATGAACACATCTTATATTGTACCAAAAAGGTTAAAAATATCACAAAGAAACTTTACATTTCTATTTCCTTATGAGCATGTAACCAGTACCAACAGGTGATGGCAAATTTATTTTCAATGCTTTCTTTTGCTTTAGTTTTTTGACAATTGTACAGTAAATATTTCAGTTAATGCTTAATGGCAATTCCACTAAGGAATTACAGATTGTGTTTGTCCTTGTCTAATGTGAATGAGTTGAAAAGTTCATTATTTTACTTTTTAAATAGGCTTCATTTAATTTGACAAAAAACATCTTGGGGCTATCAGCTGCTCTAATAACACCCATCTAATGAAAACAGAAATTTGCACAGAAAAATATAAAACAGATAAAGACAACATTCAAGAATTCTGAAAGTCACGAAACATTGAGTGACCTGATCCTACAACTATTAGATTGACTGTGACAGCAGTTCATAAGAAATGAACCTCTTAAAAGCCACGCACATCTTAATTGTGTAGAGATGTAATATGAAACATCAAAGGCTAAGTTGAACTCTTGTGAACAAGATTCTGGAACACATAGCACATTTTTATCAACAGTATTGATAGTCAATTTCTCTGCTGCAGATTTCTGGGCTTTTGTCACTCTATTGCAACATGATTTTGCCCTTCTCTTTTTATGAATTGACAAATGACCTCAACTAGAATTTCGAATACGTTATAAACTTTAGATGACAGAAAATCACTCATTAAGAGACTTTCACTTGAAGTTTAAAAAAACATTCTTATCATTCAATACAGTGAAATTGTTCTTTGAAAAACTGCAAACTGCATTTAAAAATGATCAGTCATTTTACTGCAAAAACTGGACAGAAAACAATGTACAACTGGCATTCCAATCTGTCTTTCAGCCTATGAATTTCAGAAATCTTTCTGAATTAAATACAAATGGATTCAATAAAGCACATCATATTTCTGATCAATTCAGGTTTAAAATCATTCAGACCCAAAGCTCAGCAACAATAAATGTATTCATTCCCGTTCAAGTTAAGAACTCAATCCGTCCAGGACTGCGGAACAATAGTATTTAATTCACATCAATGGATGGGCTTGAACAGCATAAGCTAAGATTTTGCTGCAGACACAAGAAGGTATGAAACGAAAAGCCATTTGGTCCAATAAGCCCATTGGTTCCATAGAATAATTAAATGTTGTTCAATCACAGACTCCACCATTTTAAACTAAATTCAAACTTAAAGTATACTTTTCTGGAGACCATTTCTCTTTGGGTTTCCAAATGGATGTGCCTAATAGCAGCGCTTTCCGATTCAGATATGTAAAAAGGAAACCATTAAGCGAATTTCCATTTTTGGAAATCTGTTCCCATCTGCAAAATGGACAATGGAAAGGAGGCAAGAAAAGGGTTTTAAAGTGTTTTCTTTAAAGAACATGAAACCAAAAAGATAAAATAGGTGTTCTAAATGTTTTAACTTTACTTCAAGTGCTTCTTTTATTAGTGTATGGCTTTGGTTACAGCACTGAAATTATCCTTGATATTTGAGTCGCTCTTATTTCAACATTAGAGTTTATTTCAGCATTAAATTTAGCCTGCACATCACCATACATCCTTACATCCTTAAAACCACTAACAAGCACACGATCAGAACAACCATGCTCTTGCTGGTTTATAAAGGACAAGTTGCAGGAACAATCACTTGCCAAAAAACACTGTTCTTTTACTAAAAAATATTACATTCAAATTTAGTTACGCATTGCCAGCCACTGTGAAAATTGCTGAATGATAAATTTATGAGAAGCCAGGTTTCAGATCACAAAAATCACAGTACAGGAGCACTGTGAATAGAAAAGACAGACGTGCCAACTCTGTACTAACAATAAGTTTCTTTGCATGCAATATATAGAGAACCCGGGTATAATGTAGTCATCTAGGTTCACTATTCTAGTGGGAGCATGAGAAGCGAAGCATGGGAAAATGGCCAACTTCCTGAGTGTCAGTTTGCTGCATACACGACTTCCCGTGCACTATGTAGAAAAAGCACCCTTCCATCATGCTTCTTTCGAGAAGTGATGCCAGTGGTGCTTCTTGTACATAGTGCACATGTGTTGTGCACAGGAAGTGAAGTTAGTAATGATATTGTGACATTTTCATTTGACAATCAAGAAACCAGCCATTTTTTAGCACAAGATGCCAGCTTGTCAATACTGAAAAATCAGATCCTCAACAACAACAAAATTACACTTATGTATAGCGCCTTTCACGTCGGGAGGATGTGAAAGCACCCATGCTATAAGCAAAGCATCAGAAAGATGAATGAGATTTACAGGGTTTTATTGTAGATTTAGTCATGATGTGCAATTTATGGTTAGGATATTAAATGTGATAAATTTTAAATTACAATTTTGTTGCACAACTGGATTTTAACTATTGTCAATACAATATCCTACTTTGATTATAATTAATTTAAACACCAATCAAATATGATTCTAATCTATGCCAAAACAGTTTGAAATGAAAAACATTATAATAAGTGATGGTGACCATTTAAACACAAATTACCTGTGAACATTTAGAAGCAGAAGTTTCAAAAGACACTGCAAAGCTCATAGCCGGGGGAAAGGGGGTGAGAAGAGAAGCTGCCAACAATAGATAATGAAGAGCTCACCAGAGGTCAACACCTCTTAAATATCAGAACTCAGGGAAAAAAAAACTTATTCTACGAGATATGAAATGAATTGTACCATATTGATCCTCAGGCCAGTGCTGTATTGTACATTTTCAGCTTGTGCTTCAACAGCCTCTCAATCTTTTTCAATATTAGCAGAATAAGACACTACAGTTAAAATCAATTTTCAATACTGCAGAAAAAAGGAGATCCAGCAAGACAAACAAGCTAACAATGAGAAACAGCTTTCAAATTCTTAAGGTCGAGCACACTGACCTGTGTACAACATTCCTAATGATTTAACAATCCACAATGAAAGGACTGCTTCAGTGCACTTTTATAGTGAAGTGGAATTACGTGCCATGCCCTCAAAATTTGCCAGACTTCATCGTTGTAGTGAACTTTTATGGATACCATAGAGCGAACCAGGCACACATGCTATATTTAATCTAACCCCAATTTATATAAACCTAAGCCAAAGGATTTTTTCCACTAGCTTAACTCTAAAAAATGTCCATTACAAATGCATCAGCAACTGTCAAAGTTAAAAGTTTTTACAGCAAACGCGATTTATTTTTAAATATATCACTCCACAACATTTTTTCTAAATAAAGTAATCTATCATTTTTTTTTGTATTCAGCTGTATATCCCAATAAGTACTAGTTTTAGAAAATACAATGCAGCCATCAATGACTAAAGCACAGTATCACAAATGCTGCCTTCATTACATTTTTGCAAAAATCAATTGTGTCGGCAGTTATACAGTGAATTTGAAATAGAGATGACAATGCGTGTAAACAATAATTTATCAGGAAAGAAAAACGTCTCTCTCATTAGATAACTGTTCAACGGAATGCATTACTATGAGTACAGTTGTTGTTAGGTCAGTTTT